AAACCTGCAAATATTCTAATTAAACAAGTAACAAAGAAAATTAAAAAATTACACTAGTCATACAAGATAACAAATGAGTTCTAAAATTATCTTATTATCCAGTACTTGTTTTCTTATTTATTTAAAAGATACGGGTTTTCAAGGTTTTGCAATTCTTAATATACAACGGCTTACAATCTTGATCTTATTTATTTATATAGTCAGAAAATATATTAAATATAGTAACTATATTAATATCTTAGATATTCCTCTAACTCTTTGGGAAGGGCTAATCTAATTAATGAAAATAATATATTTCCGATTTATTTAAAGCTTTTGTTAGTAGCCGTGAAGCCTGGCGATAAAGAAAAAAAAAGGCTGCGTAAAAGCTAAGCTTCACAGAGAAAACAAACCAGTCAATCAATAATACATATATACATATATATATGAATCATTTTCATAATATTTAAAAATAAATAAAATAGCATTAATCAGATCATTTTGCAATCTACTTAAACACACATTGATAAGAATTAATCTTCTAACCTTAAGATGAGCTTTGTTTTCGATTTGATATTTACGAATATAACAGTTGATATGGATTAATCTAAATTATACAAGAGACGTGATATAGTCAAGATCACTTGGCATATCGTTGCTAAAACAAGAGTGGAACATGCAATTTGTAATAACTATTCGTACGTACTATATCATTCAGGCCTCCAACTGATATAATTTAGCACTCATACAATGTTTTCCTGGATCCAAAAACGTGATCGACCCACGTGGATCGGTGGGGGGTACAAGAATAACAACAAATAGGGCTTATTCGAGGGGTGACGTACCCCATAATACCAGATACCAGAGTGGTCAGTGGCGAAGAGATTGCAGCAGGGGCCCCCAACCGATAACCCGGGGGCACTACGTGTTCAGATAGATAGTGCCGATATGAGTGTGCTGTATACGTATACATATGAATATGTATATTTCACGATTTCGATTATGGATGCCACTATATAGTGCACTTTGTAATTGCTCGAACCCCGTGTTTCGTCGAAAATTGTTTAAAGAATCGACTTTTATTGGCCGACAAATAGAACTTGGCACTTGAATCGCCTTTGTTTGATCTTATCGCCTGATAAGGCTCATATATACCTATATTTTTGTTCTCTTGGGGTTTAGTCATAGGCTATATGAGCGTGTATGCCTTCATAGTTGAGGAATTTCCTGTTTTTTTTTTTAAGTTTTGTTATGGGTTTGTAAAGAATAAAATAGTTTCGGTTTGGATTGTTGCTATATGCAGTTAGGAAATATTTTGCCCTATAATATGGATGTTATTTTGCTAATTGTTCAATATAGGTTTGACTTAGGTGTTATTTAAAACATAAATTTTTTTGGGTCCTATATTTTTTCGGAAACGTTATGTTATGTATATATCCTGCAACTTCTTCTTTAATTCAAGGAACGGCTATGTGTTTTTTAAATGATTTCAATTACTTTGTATTATTTCCTTTGAAATGTCCTCTCAAAATACTTTAACTTTATATTTTCTACTTTATTGCAATGGAAGGACTATATCTTAAAGGATAATATATATGTTAGTTCATAAGTAAATTTTTTATGCTTTAGGGATTTTAGTTAGGATCTCTTTTTGGATATAATTCTTTTTTAAGGCTTTGAGTCCTGGGACTTGTATTTCTACTTGGGGCTCCATCTTGCGATTCTTGAGTCTTCTCTTTCTTCTCTCCTTCTGTCCCGCTTAGTGTGAGTTGTTTGTGTGGGCTTATTCAAACGCAGACAGCGCGGCGGCTGAGTCGGTGGAAAAAAAGCAACCTGAGGCTCTCCGCCTTCTCCTCTCCTCCTCCCACTCTTCAACCTCCTCCTCCTCCTTCTTCTCCCCCTCTCCCTTCACCATAAGATTGGAGATCATAAGTGCCCCAGCACGTCGTTCTCCTCCTTCCCCTCCCTTTTTTTTTTGTCGGTTGCCGCGCCCTTTCCCTTTCCCAATTTTTTATACTTGGTTTTTTTCTCAACTTTTAAATCAATTCATGGGCATATGGGTGTATGTGTGTATAGGTTTCTTCGATTTTTACGTTACCTTTTTATATTCAATTTTTATCTCTTTGCCTTAGTCTTTTCCGCTTTTTTTTTGTTTTGTTTTTGATAAATCGATTTAGAAGCCGACGGGGTCTAAATAAAAAAAAAGTGGAATTCTTTTGATTTTTATGTGCCAGTGTGTGAGTGTGTGTTGCTTTTGAACTTTTTTGTCGGTTGAATTTTTGGTTGCGAGTTTGTGTGCGTTTTTCGGCATATTTTTGGGTTGTTTGTGGCCGCTTTACTTGGAAATGCAATTCAAAAATGTATTTCTCTCGCCTTTTTTAAAGAGTTTTTTTTTACATTTTTGTTCAGATTGTTTTCAATTTCTGTCAATGTAAAAAAAAGTTGCCTTATGGTTAATTTTTGATTGTTTTATAAATCTGTTTTTTATGTTTGTTATAATTTTTAAAAAAGTAGCCTTTAGGTTTTATTTTCAAATTTAGAGCTTCTGTTTATTGGGTTTATTTTTTCTTTTTTAATTTGTTATATTTTTGAACCAAAGTAAGTCAATGGTTTTTATTTCAAAACCCTTTATTTGACCAATATTTGTAATTTTTTTGTGACATTATTTCCTTAAATGCTGAAAAGAAAGTTTTTTGCTAATAAATGTTAAAATGTTAACCAAATCTTGTTTCAGTGCATCAAGATTATTTATCGTTACTCTTCTCGCTTTTTTTTTGTGTGCAGGCGCTTCGCAGGCTCCATCTTGTCTTGCCGTCCCTTTCCCGCCTCCTTGATCTTTCCAGACAGTCCGTCGTCGCTTTTTTATTTGTGGTACAGGGGGAAGGGTGAGGGGCTTGAGATTTGGGTACAGTGGGAGGCGTGGGGATGGGGGATAAGGGATTTCGGATACAGGGGGCGGGGCAGCAGCGACGTGGGAATCTGGACCCCTTAAATCTATCATGATTTTTGTATAATTCGGAGAGCTAGGTGACTCAAAGATATCGCGCCCCTTCTCTTTCCCACCTTAACTCCGCAAATCACACGCGCAAATTGATGCTCAACAACAACACCATATATTTTTGATTTGTTTTTAAAATTTTTTTTTTATAAATTTGCATACACACGCAAGCAAAGCAGCCCACTGTCGCACACACACATATACTCATGTAAATCGCAAAAGAGAGCGAGGTGCGTGTGTGTGTGTGTTGTTCATTCATGAATTCCAGATTTTGCCGAGGAGGAAGAAGAAGAGTCAGCATTTTCGTTTGTCAGTTTTATTTGCAACAAGTGCGGACAGACTCACTTGATTTTCTTGTTGCACCTATTGCATGCCCTTTTTGTGTGTTTTTTCCATTTTTTATACTTTGAGCTTAGACAGAACGGCGGCAACGTCGACAAAAATAAGCTTTAGCTACATATATGTTTGTATAGTATATATGCACCCACGGCCAAAACAACGAGTAAAAAATAAAAAAAACCAAGATAGTTGGAAACCTCTCTTTGTGTGTTTGTAAAAATATAAAAAATGCAGCAACGCATTCAACAGTTGATTTCAAAAGAGAGAGAGAGCGGCTAGTGAGAGAGAATGCGAGAGCGCGCTCAACAAGTTCGTTCCACGATCTGTTGCGTCGTGTGTATGTATGAAAAAGAGCGGATGAATGGGGGCGGGGGCACAGGGGTGTGGGTCAAAAGGGGTAGGGGTAGGTAAAGGTGGTTGGGGACGGGGAGGGGGCGTGTGGAGTGGCAGTGCCAGAATGTCTGGCAACACACGACTCTGGCGCACACACACACCATTCCAATGGGTCTCTGTTGTATGTGTGTGAGCAACCGCAGCCACTAACAAAAGTCGCAGCACAGTGGGTCAAAAGCTGAGAGCTGGTTGCTGCCCAAATAAATATTTGTATTTGATTTGTATTTGGTATTCACTACCTTATGCTTTTTGCCCTAATAAACTACGGATTTGAATAATTTTTGTGTTTATTTCGTCCACCAATTTATTTTTTGTCAAGTTTGGGTAAAAGTTTTGAAAAAGTTAAATATTCTTTTAAATAAATAATAATGTCAATCAATAAAAACACTACATATTTATTAAGAATAACATTTTATTAAGCATTACTGCAATTACTAGCGGCGTAAACACTTTAATTTGTAGATTTTCTAGTTGTTGTATTAAAGCTTATTTCGCTTTTGTAGTTTATTTGGATTTGCGATACTCTTAAGCCTTAAAAGCTGGATTCTGGATATAGCCATACTTGAACTTGTTCGGTGGAAGAGGCCCTGGATCATGGTCATTGAAGATCGACTGTAACTTCCAAGCAAACTTTCCAGATTGTCATTTCTCCCCGAAGGATATTATTAAGTAATGCGATCATTGAATATAATCTAATTCCTTGCCCAATTTGCCCCACTGTATGCCCATTTGTGGTGTTTTTGTCAGTTAGTCAGTCGTCGGGTGACTGTGGCAGTGGCTTCGCATTGGAAAAAGGTAGGGGGAGGGGGAATGGGTTGTTCCGTCCCCTGTTGTCCATTCGGTCCCACCGTGCATACACATAGGAAAACCAACAACACAAAAGCGCCGCAACTGCAGCAACAACATCGCCACAACCCGTATGTGGCATCCCTTTCGCACTCGTACTCGCCCTAGCACACACACGCACACGTGCAAAGGCAGACACCTCGCGACACGAATGTCGTCAGTTTGTCTGCAGTGCTCAGTGCCATGCTTGTTGTTGCTGCGGCTCTCTCTCGTTTGTCCGTCGTCTCTCTCTTTTTCACTCTCTTCTCCACGCACACTTACACCCACACGAGGGCAGCAGCGGCAGCAAAAACAACAACAGTGGCGTCAGCAGACAGGCAGGCATTTTACACCAGTGTGCGTGAGTGTTTGTATCTGTGAGTGAACCCAAGCAGCGCCGTCGACAGCGCGGCCCGCAGCGACGCCGGCAGAGAGCGGCAGTCTAGAACGTATCTTCGAACTAGAACGAAAAAAGGCAGAACAATTGTGTTTTGGATTCCTTGCCGTGCGGATCGCAAACGCGAGTTAATGGGAAGAGCGTAGCTAACCACGTACGAAAGAGCAAAAAGTAGAAAAAACACACAAACGTTAGTGCTTTTACATTTTTTTAACTGTGTTTTCCGATATACAATATACACATATTTGAAACGGATTTTAAAGTGTTTTTATACAACAACTCCAGAAGTATCTATGTGTGCGAGTGTTGTGTGCGTGTGTGAGTGACAGAGCTGCCAGATCGCGAGTTATGAAAGCGCAAGCGTCGCACGCAAGTAGCAACAACAGCTACAAATAAAAAAAACACCTAAAAACTAAAAACACACAGCAGCAGGCACACAAATACATATTTTTGCTATAGAAAAGAGAACTTAGATACTTTACCAGAAATCAAGTTATACAAAATAATTCAAAATAAAAACCATGGATAGCAGCAGCAGCGATTCTGGAGCTTTGAACTTCAAGCGACCCAAGGATTCCTCGGAGAATTCTACAAATAATAACAATAATAATGCCTCTTCGGGCAGTCCAAAAATGGGCAGTCGTCGGATTTTCACGCCCCATTTTAAGCTGCAAGTTTTGGAATCGTACAGAAACGATAATGATTGCAAGGGCAATCAAAGGGCCACGGCTAGGAAATACAATATTCACCGCCGGCAAATCCAAAAGTGGTTGCAGTGCGAGTCCAATTTGCGTTCGTCAGTGGCCAACAATCAGCAACAGCAGCAGCAGCAACAACAGCAGCAGCAGCAGCAACAGCAACATCTCCCGCAGCAATCGGTGTCGCCCACACCTGCAGTCAAGGTGTTCCATCAGCTGAGCCATCCGTTGGTGCATCAGTTGCATCACCATCATGCCGCTGCAGTGCATCATCATCATGGACACCATGCTGCCGCTGCCGCCCATCATCATCACCATCACCATCATGCTGCGGCAGCAGCAGCAGCAGCGGCGGCAGCAGCAGCGGCAGCAGCGGCCCATCATCATGCCGCCCATCACTTGTTGGCCGCCAATGGCATTGTGCCACACCCACTGGCCGCCCATCCACATCTCCATGTCCCGGTGGCCATCCATCCTCAACTGCAACATCAAAAGGAGCAGCAGCAGCAGTTGCAACAGGAGCAACAGCAGCAGCTGCAACAGGAGAAGCAGCAGCAACTGCAGCAGGAACCACCAGCAACTGTTCCCACAAATGGCAGCAATCAGGGATCCTCAAGTGTCCTTTCGGCAGCCAAAATAGCCGCTGTTGTTGCCGCCGCCATGGCCACCAGTAATGGCAATTCCACAGCAACAGCAATCCCCGCCAGCAGCAGCAACTGCAACACATTGCCAAGCAGCAACAGTAGTTGCAACAACACCAGCAACAGCAACAACAACTGCAACAGCAAAACCAACAACCAAGTGCCAATACAAGTGCCAATCCTGAGCGGATCCCCCGGCGGATCTTCCAGTCACATTCCACACATGCCCTACACCTACCACCACCACCACCATCCTCACCCACATCCCCACCATAACCATGGCTATCTGGAGAGCCGTTTGGAGGCGGTAGTTACTCCTGCACCCATGGACTTGTCCCTCGGATCCTCTGCCCGCCGCCAAATGCAATTGAACGACAAGGATCCCTCGGGTGTGGATCTCACCTTCCGCAAACGCAAGGTCATCACCAATCCCATGCAGCCGGACAAGATCAGTAAGCTGGAGGAGGTTATCAAGAAGGAGCCCGAAACGGAAACGGAGAACGAGGATGTGGAGGTGGATGTGGATGTGGAGACGGAGCAGCCGGAGGAGCACAAGCTGCCCTCCAAGCAGGTGAAGCTTTTCAAGCCCTATCTGCTGGACGATGAGGAGCAGGACCACCAGCAGGACTTGGATGAGGGCGCTGGCGAGGAGGAGCACGACGAGGTGGAGGAATACCGCGATGCCGATGATGACGAGGTGGACGCCAAAGAGGCGGCAGACAAGAAGCAACGTCGCCTGAAGAAGAAGCCAGCGGTGATCAATGAGCAGCGGGAGCCCATCATCTGGAGTAATCATCCGTACCCGGGATGTCTATCCCCGGGCAGTTCCACCACCAGCTTTCAATGCGGCTCGACCATCCAACAGCAACAGCAGCACCAGCACCAGCAACAGACATTTCCCGTCGGGAGTCCTAGCCAGCAATTTCAGGATAGCAAAGCCACGCCCACCACCCCACTCAGCCCCTTCTCGGCGCCCGCCCTCTCGCCCACCGGCTTCTGCTGCCCCAAAGGATCGCCCGTTTCCGGCTACGAGAGCAGCTCATCCACCTACAGCGACAGCGGCAGCAGCTACAGCCTCAATCTCCAGCTGCATGCCGTCTACAACGACAATCTGATGTACATGCAACAGCAGCAGCAGCAACAGCAGCAGCAGCAACAACAGCAACATCACCTGCAACATCAGCAACACCTGCAACGCTGGCTGGATCAGGAGTCTTTGGCCAGCACAAGGACAACCACAAGCCAGCCCCTGATCCTTGTGGCGGATCCTGCGCCCACAAACCTGACCCTGGTGGCCTAAGAAACACAGTAGAAACTAAGCAAGCAGCAATCCCACCAATCGGATGTTACAATGGCAGTCACTGGGCCTGGCCTTTTAGTTCCCTAAGCCATATTTAAGATTAAAAAACGTTTTTTTTTAGCTCTACCGCATAAGTTTTACCTTAAAAATGTTATATCTAAGAGAAAGAGAGAGCGAGAGTCGAGAGTCGAGCGAAAACATATATCTTCCAAGCATATCAGCAAAAAAAAACCACAACCCTAGGATTAGACAATTTTTTTTTTTGGTTACCTACTAAGAACAAATTAAGCTTAAGTTCAGTTTTTTCTTTTTTTTTTTTATTAGCATGTGTAAATAATTGTGTACAAAAACTAAAACAAAGCGAAACATTTGAATTTGCTTGAGAATTTCAACGCTAAATTTAATTTGTAAAACACACGGGGAGAGAGTATATATATACATATTTAATGTAAGAGAGAAAAAATGTGAAAATGCAACTGGAAAAACTGAGAAAATTGTTAAGAGTAAAGCTTTAAAAACGAAACAAACACACACCTTTACAATACACACTTTTTTTATTTGGAAATTGAAAATTGAAAATTCTTGTGATATGAACAAACAACAAAACAAAATTTTAATAAAATTGTTGAAAACTGAAGCTTAATGAATATAGCTATATATAAATATATATATATTTACAAACACAAATGAGAGCAAGAAATAAAATGTAAATTTAAGGAGTTACATCTAAAAGTTAATTATAATTATATACAATATACATATATACAATATATTTATATACAAACAAGAGGATAACGTTTTTTTTTCATTGCCAAGGGAAATATTTAATGAACCTATTTGAAAATCGCATATGCATAGAGAGATATATATGTATATATATAAAAATCAGTATTTTTATATATAACATTTGACAGCAGCAACAATAATTTTGTGACCATAAAACCAACAAACAACAAAAAAATCAACAACAAAACGAATTGATTAAATTAACAACGGAAAACTAAAAAACTTTAAATTGAACTGGTTTTATCATTGGTTTTGGGTGGGGTTTCAAATGGAGACATTGATTTTCAGAAGGCTGGGACATAAAACTAAAATAAATTTTTCAGGAACCTGTGGATTGCTTTTCCCATCTTTTGGATCAACAGTTGATTTTAATAGTTTTTTCACGTTAAATCAAAAATATTATTTGGTTTTCCGGCTGACTAATAAGTATTCAAAGGAATTTTTTAAGTTCTTACTTAAAAGATCAGTAAAAGTCGTATTTTAAAGATCAGTTTAAAAAAACAAATTATGGGATTTTTGGGATGTATAATATTTATATTATCATCTGGCTCTTTAAATATTTAAAGTAAGTAATTCAAATCATTAACTCTAAACATAAAAACAGAATCTTTAAAAATCAACAAAAGAAGAACATAAAATGGCAAAGAAAGAGTGGTATATTCTGAATTCAAAAGAGAACGGTCTCTATATTATCTTTATTAATGATATTATATGATGTTTTTATATTATATGATGTTTTTATATTATATGTTGTTTTGATGTTTTTATATTTATGATATTTTTTTTTATATTCTATGATATTTTGATATTCTATGATATTTTGATATTATATGATATTTGAATATTATATGATATTTTGATGTTCTATAATATTTTGATATTATGATATGACGATCTTTCTGACTAAGCTTTTGCTTATATTTTCCAAGTACCCCTAATAAATGGACATAATCTAGAAAGATCGCCCTGCTTTTCAACTCTTAGCGATTCTTGGCTGGCTGAGTGAGTGACTGTGTGAGGTTAAGGCCCCATTTATAGAACCGATCGCCGTTTGATCTCTGGCGATCATACGAATGTGCCATTCAAATGGATTTGTGTGTGCCGTGCGTGTGGTATTATTTGCGTGCCTCATTGTGACAACTCATGGGTTGTCAGTCAGGGCATAGCTTAAGGCTTTGGGGCTTTCCATTTCGACAGTGCCAGTGGCAGTGCCACGCCCCCCTCATACTCCTCCACTGCCACCTCCTACATTTGGACCACCCGCCGCCCCTTAACTTGGTACTCCTCGGTTTCTGGTCAAATTCGCTTGGCACATTTCGGCGGCGGGGTATGACTAAGCCGCAAATTCTATAATGATCGTATTTTTAAAACGTTTAAAAATAAAGTGCTCTCGTTTGCCAATGTGTGCGCCAATCACGAGCCCCGAGCCGCAGCATTCAGCATTCAGCACCACTGCGATCCATAGTCACATCCACATCAGCACCACCGCCATCGCATCGTATCGTATAGTATCGGATCGGATCAGATCGGTTTGGGGATCGGTTCTCGAGACAGAGCGGCATACTCATTGTTTTTCACTTGACGCGTTGCGCTTTCCCTTCTGCAGAGCGAAAAGCAAATCCAAACGATCGCTGCCAAAGAATTTTTGCGACATTTGCGGACAAAACAGACGGACAGAGCGATCGCAGACCCCATGGGATACCCTAGTCATACACAGAGGGAAAAATTACACTAACAAGGGATTAGTATCAGGTCATGTTGTAACATTGAAAAACATAATGCCAATCATATAGGTAATCAAGAAATTTCTAATTGGGGGTTCTGTTACGATGTGATCTTACTTCTTTAGGGATTGGAATACCCATAATGATAGAAAAGGGCATTGAGAGAAGTGCCTTATTAACGTGTATTGTACAAATATTTAAAATCAAATATATTTTATAGCTCTAATTCAATTAAAATGTACTTTTTAAGATTAACTTATTTTACTATTTTTTTTCTGTGTGGAAAAAGGGTGCGGAGATCGGAAATGTGCCAACATCCCTGTGATTGGATCGTTCAGGTGATCGTTTCCACGTATTTAAGTTAAACTAGGGGAGATTGGAAGGACGAGGTGTTTAAGGAGGAATACAACCATTAATACTTTTGAGGATCTAAAAGAGAAATGTCAAGAAACGGATGAAAATTAAAAACTAAATCAGGGGACTTTTTAAGAACTAAAGATAAAGAAAGCCTTTAAAAAGCTCTAGAAGTAACAATCTGAATTGAATTGAACAGAATTCATTAATGCAGGAACTGTTACTGGAAATTCTTTTAGGGATACAGAATGATTATGAAATGATAAAAATTAGTTAGTTCAAGCAAAAACGTATTTAAGGAAAATAAAAAGAAGAGCTTTTTTAGAATGAGGTTTAGGAACAATGGAGAAAATCGAAGTTAGAGGACTTTATAGACAGGGGTGGAGGTAAAGGGACCATAGAACCATTTACCATAAAAAGTAATCGAAAATGGGGGGGGAGGGTGAGTGAAGATCTGGGGCCCCGTGACAGAGGAGCATATATTTAGAGGTGGGGACCCACAGGTACCGGGAAACTGTGGGAGGAGCGCGACCGCAGATGATTGCTAAATTTCGATTTATTTTCGTGCTGTTTTCGTCGAACCGCGTTGCCGTGTAAACTTTTGCTCGCCTTTTTGTTGTGCCACCTCAACCTAGCAATGTGTGTGTGGTTTTTGTTGCTGCCTTTCATGCCACGTGACAAATTTCGATCGCTCGGACGTAACAAAAAAATAAAATATATATTTTGATTTGCAGCCAGCCAAAATTTTACAAAGTAAATAGGGGAATAGAAATACACCTGAGTCCCGAGACTCGAGTCTCGAGTACTTTTTGCAGATGGCGATCGTCGCTATATATCTATATATACGCTTATATAGTTTGTTATTGATCAAGCGGGTTTTGCGCACTCTGAATGCTGTAATCAAAGGAACGGATCTCGCGCGATCCGATCGACACTCGTGACATAATCTCTTATATGAATTCTTTTGCTTCTGAACTGTACCGATCGGTTGGGCATATCTTTTGGGCTTTGGCTAACCGCATGACATAACTTAAATGCTTTTGGTATAAATTATAACTTGCGAAATGGGAATCTACAACTTGTTTGTGGGAAAGTACCGACGGCTTAACTTAAAAATCATTTATATAAACTATTTTTTAAAAAATGTCACTCTGAAGAAGTCTTTTCTAATGAAACAACAGTCTATTGAATAATAAGAATATTATTAAAGTATAGAAGAAAGACTCCTAAATCTATATACCAAGATACCAAACAGAAAACATAAATTTATCAAATGAAAGCTCACTAGTTAGTGATCATTGATCAAAAGAAATGATATTTATATCAACAAATTTTTCAAAAATGTCACTCTAAAGAAGTTTTCTTATAAAACAACAGTCTATTGAATAATATTAAACATTATTAAAGTATAGAAGAAAGATCCTTAATCTACCAAGATACCAAACAGAAAACAGAAATTTATCAAATAAAAGCTCACTAGTTAGTCATCACTGATCACATAAATGCTCAAACAAATATGTTAGGGTTTTTTGGTAAGTATTATTCAAAATTTCCCCAAGAAACTTAAGATCCCTGATCAATTAGAATCGCTGACAGAGCAACTGGCCAAGGGATCCATCAATGTTGTGGGAGCAATTCGGCGGATCCATCAGATTGCCGATAATGTGATTCGATTTGAGCTAATAATTCATATGAAAATTGATTTTAATTTGGCTTGGCTTGGCGTTTTTTTTATTTTTTATCAGATTTGCAGTTTATTTTTAGGAACCGCTGGGGCAAACGTGCCCAGACAAACGATACAAATAACAATCGAATAAATCATTCTCGAGTGGGCAAAAGCGGTAACTAATTATAGATCAGGACAATGTTGTTGTTACACTATGACTATATGTTCCGCTGACAGTTGCAAATCGATGCTCTTCAAATAAGGGAAACTCAGTGTAGATCGCCGATCGCTGATTTCGGGGTTGGCCAAAAACATATTGTGTAAGGTCCGCCTGGTTGCTAACAAATAATAAAATAGATATAGCACCAGTCCAGACCCAATTTCCAATTTCAGGCGATATCTTGACAGGCGGATAAATCGCGACCGATAATTGATAACCTCGCCCCCGGTTTGTTGTTTTTTTTATTCCATTTGATTTGTTAGTGCAGGGCTTGACCAGTTTCCGGCGGCTTAAGAATATATACTTGAGGTTGATCGATGAACTCTACCGATCCATCCGCGACCACATAAAGTCGAGCTTCTACAACTTTTCAATCCAAAATTCTACACTAATTTCATATCAGCGAATTTGGTTTGGGAAAGTTATATTTTTCGGAGTCAGCAAAAGATTTAACAATAATATACCACGAATATGTCCCCAAAAATATTAAAATAATACGGAAATAAATATGTCATTAATGTCAGCGATAAAAAATAATACTTTTCTGTTTATTTTTAGCACTGACAATAAATAATTAGGTATAGTTTTGTTTTTAAAGTTATAAAGAACGTTATAAAAAGGTTTAAAAAAAAAACACATTCAAAAATTTGTTTGCCCAGTGAAAAATCCAATTGTTGTAACTTTGATGTCGATGTTTTGAAAAACCAAAAAAAAACCTATGACATTTTTATTGATTTTATAAATGTAAAAACAAAAAAAACCCCTGAATAAAAACACCAAAAACATTTTTAACTTTCGTATATATATTTTTGATTAGGTCAATACAAAATAGCTTTTATTAATCAATAATGTGGCGTGATGTTATTTCAGTGTGCTTAAAAATAATACGACTAACACATATAAAAAGGAAAATAATAATTTGAACGTAAAACTAAAAAACCCGTGGTTTATTTTCAACTAAATTTTCTGCAGCGTAAACTGTCAGATAGTGCTTTGAACTAAATAAGTTCGACTGTGTAAAGTTATATATGTTTGTATCAATTGCTAGTGTTAGATGGTGGTTGCAGTAATCGTTTGGTTTGAGCTGCTCGCTTCTTTTAAATGCTGGCATATATCATAAATATTACATACAGATTAGCTTAACTAGACGTATATTTCTATATATACATGTAGGTGCATATATGACTGTAAATCGATCGCTGAGGATCGCCCTGGGATTTGCTGGAATCGAAAAATAGAACATCACACACTCGCACAAACACACATGGACGCACACAAACAAGCACACACACACAGGCGGACTGGGCAAAACATCGAGTACATATATATAGTTATATATACATATACACTAAGGTATACGGCTAAACATCCTTGTAGTCCACCGATAAATGCAGAAAGTTGTCGGGATAGCTCAGGTGTTCGGACATCCATTGCAGTTGGGTCTCCTCGTGAAGATCGATTCCGTGGGTGCGACATCCAACTGGAAATAACAATGTCGATTAGTGATACTATAACAAGTCCATGGGGTACATCAAAACTTGGATCTCTAAAAAAGACAGTCCCCACAATGTTTACTGCCAACCTTCCGCAATTCAAAGCCTAAAGTAAAACCTTTATATTTAATTATTTCTCTTTGGATCAAAGCACTATTTGTTCATTTTAAACTAATGCAAGGCTTTTAATATATAAATTGCCTTAGTATTTCTATTTTCGGTTGTAGTTCCAAAACAGTCGCTACCTTTACTTAATCCAATTATCGATCATTTCTAAGCCAGCAAAATGAATAAACAGACATAATCGATATTCATTAAACATTATGAGATAATTTAAAGTTCAAAGGAATTATGCCGCTATTTATACATATGTACAAAAATTATTTTGCAATTAACGATTACTTTCGGTATTACCGACTGATTCTTATAATATAAGCCGCTAACTAGTATTTAAAACCCGGAAATCATATAAAGATTATTTAATCTGCTATTTTTAAAAAGATATCTTCTAGGAAACTCTAGTACATGAAATAAAAACAAGAAAGGAAAGCTAACTTCGGGCGGAGCCGAAGTTGATATACCCTTGCAGAATACTCTGTAAATTATATTCTCCAAAATTATTCATATGATGCATTCTTAATACTCATAAAAAATCCGAACTTCCTAACTTTAACAACAACAAAGTTATGGCATTTCCAATCGTTCAGTTATATGGCAGCTATAGGATATAGTCGGCCGATCCTTATGAAATTTGATAGGTCGGATTGATTGGCCAAAAATAAAATCCATAGAAAATCCCAACTTCCCAACTTAACAAACACCAAAGTTATGGCATTTCCGATCAATCAGTTATATGGCAGCTATAGGATATAGTCGGCCGATCCTTATGAAATTTGGTGGGTCGGATTGATTGGCCAAATATAAAACCCATAGAAAATCCCAACTTTCTAACTTTACAAACACCAAAGTTATGGCATTTCCGATCAATCAGTTATATGGCAGCTATAGGATATAGTCGGCCGATCCTTATGAAATTTGGTGGGTCGGATTGATTGGCCAAATATAAAACCCATAGAAAATCCCAACTTTCTAACTTTACAAACACCAAAGTTATGGCATTTCCGATCAATCAGTTATATGGCAGCTATAGGATATAGTCGGCCGATCCTTATGAAATTTGGTAGGTCGGATTGATTGGCCAAATATAAAACCCATAGAAAATCCCAACTTTCTAACTTTACAAACACCAAAGTTATGGCATTTCCGATCAATCAGTTATATGGCAGCTATAGGATATAGTCGGCCGATCCTTATGAAATTTGGTGGGTCGGATTGATTGGCCAAATATAAAACCCATAGAAAATCCCAACTTTCTAACTTTACAAACACCAAAGTTATGGCATTTCCGATCAATCAGTTATATGGCAGCTATAGGATATAGTCGGCCGATCCTTATGAAATTTGGTAGGTCGGATTGATTGGCCAAATATAAAACCCATAGAAAATCCCAACTTTCTAACTTTACAAACACCAAAGTTATGGCATTTCCGATCAATCAGTTATATGGCAGCTATAGGATATAGTCGGCCGATCCTTATGAAATTTGGTAGGTCGGATTGATTGGCCAAATATAAAACCCATAGAAAATCCCAACTTCCTAACTTTACAAACACGAAAGTTATGGCATTTCCGATCAATCAGTTATATGGCAGCTATAGGATATAGTCGGCCGATCCCGGCCGTTCCGACTTATATACTGCGTGCAAAGGAAAGAAGGGTGTGTGCAAAGTTTCAATCCGATAGCTTTAAAACTGAGAGACTAGTTTGCGTAGAAACAGACAGACGGACAGACGGACAGACGGACAGACGGACAGACGGACAGACGGACAGACGGACATGGCTATATCAACTCAGGAGGTGATCCTGATCAAGAATATATATACTTTATAGGGTCGGAGATGTCTCCTTCACTGCGTTGCACACTTTTGACCAAAATTATAATACCCTCTGCAAGGGTATAAAAACTAGGAAATTTTAAGTACCCATTAAAAGCTTACTAAGCCATTATATAAAAGATCGCCTATCAATATTTCATTAATGAGCGACAGCTCTCTATGAAGTGAAGTCCGTATACACGAGTACCTATACCTATACCTATACCTATATTATAATGAATGAGATCAGCTAGCGATTACTTCAGACTGATAAGCCTCTATCTCCATGGAAGCCATGCCTTATAAAGCACCGGATCTGATCATGATCAAATTGGCGAGCCATAAAGATTGTGGGACCCGAAAAAAAGGAGGAAGAGGGCTCTATAAAAATTGGACTCGCTTCAAAATCAGAGTTTAGCGCCTTATCTACGAGTGTGTTTTCTCTATTCCTATGTTTTTTCCTTTTTTTTTTTCATTCGGGTTACCAATCGTGAACCATTTCGTCATTTTTAATTTTAGCATATGAATTGTAATTATAGATTGCCGATCGCCAATTTTCGATGCCGTGCGATTGCCAATCGCCCGGTGGTTATGGCGAGCGTCCCGATCGGGGCTTTATACCGCCAGTCAGTCCCGCAAATGGTATATATGTATATAAGGTACTATACACAGATGGGGAATGGGTGCGAGTGGATGGTCTGATAACGACTGATTGCAGGCGGTGGGAGGTGGCGAATGATGATGGTGGTAACGGTGGTGGTGGTGGTGGCGATAAGATTTGTGCAACGGGCGCGAGTTCAAGTAGGGCGCATACGCATAGCTCTATAGAAACCATAGATCTCTATAGACCACGCGATATTATACCACACACCGTACACACCGTTCCATTCCATTTCGATCCGTTTCGGTTGGGCGAGTCACGAGTTTAATGACCAAGCTAATGGCGCTACCCCAAAAATAATAAATGAACGGAATCCAATTGCCTCGAGTGGAAATATGGGAAGCGAATCGATTGCTAGCGATACAGGTGATTTCGGGGGATACCATCGGAAATAGAACATACAACGAATTCTTTGATTATACACCAATTATAATACATTAAAATATAATCAAATATACACCCAAATAATATAATATAAATCACTAAGCAAATCCAATCAATTTTTTTACTAGGTCTGTATTTTTAGTTTCAAACTTATAATGTACAGATCTCTAAATGTAATTATAGACTAAAAACGAATAAAACTTTAACGCCAGGTACAGCTTATTTACTACTTTTGGTAAATAACAACACCTTAAAGGGAAGTAAATCTTTTCGATTGTTAAAAGTTTCGCTTGTTATTAAAAAAATGTTTAATAGCTTTTGAAATAACTAATAACACGAAATAAAAAATACAGTAATTAGGGTTTACAGCTTTTGTAAGAAATAAAATTAAAATTAAAACGATGTTTGGCGAGTGGAAGGAGCTAAAGAAATTTTGAGTAATCAATGTAGACCTAATTCAATAGTAGCATCCATTAATTGTACAGTTTTTATGCTAACTATATTTATAAATCCAGAAATTCATCTAGATCCACCTAAGCATTGCATTACTCAAATCTTTCGATGTAGTTTTATAGTACCGAAGAAAAAGCCGTAAAGCAATTAAACTTAATATCCCCCAAGGTGTTCAATCGGCGATATATATCCAGCAATTTGTGAGAAAACCATAAAACCAAAGACACCTACAAAGCGCCAAAGAGATCATAAATCTTGGATAGGAAACCGAACCGAACGATATAAACTATTAAATGGGGGACAAACCCGCAGACAAGCAATATATATACACTTCTGATCTCGGTGATATGTGTGTGATGTGTGTGGCCCCCCACAAAAGAAAGGGACGGCGACAGCCGCTAGAAAGAGAGGAAGCGAGAGCGAGAGTGGCGCCAAACAGTCTGAAAATTTATTGATCCCATTTTTATTATCGTCAACGTGGAAAGAACGAGGGAGCGGTGGAAAAAGTGGGAAAAAACGAACGACATCGCATAGCTCATGGCTAAAAATAACAACGTCCCATCGATCTGATAAGGCGCCCCAATCATTATAATCACTTAATAGATTGTGTTCCATAAAGCCATTAAATAAGAGTATGAAAAAAGCCCATATCTCTGTTTCATAGTCCCAAACGTTCCCAACACCAACAACCAGCACTTGCACTTGGAAAACTAAACTCAAATTTTGCAGTTCAGTGACGCCATTAAAAAAGAGTGCGAAGTCGAAAAGTGCTAATCAATTGTTTTGTTGCTGCTTTTGTTTGTCTTCTCCCCCCCTTTTTATTTTTTTTTTCTTTCGGGGCCCCATAATTTCAATTTTAATTTCGGTTTATTTTCATCCAGCTACAAAGTGGCGGAATTACGATCCAAAAAGGGGGCGGAGCAGGGGTTGCGGATGTTTAGCGAAAGAAATAAAAACGAATTTCGTTGACGGTGCAGTTGAATTGTGAATTGAAGATTGCACCCGATTATGGCCGATCAGCCAGACAAAAAAACAAACAAACAAGAAAGTGGGAAATTAAGTGGGTGCACAGGGGTGGGGGCGTGGCAGGAAGTGAAGGAATCGAAGGCTTTTTAAGTGGTTTCTAATTGGGAATGACAACGCAATATATCAGTATCCTTTCGATAATCAGTATCGTATCGATAATTAATATCGATTATTTCGAAATGTTTTAGGTCCCTAATTGTATTTATCTAAAAATTTTAAAGTAGTTGTAGTTAAGTAGGTAACATCGTTAAGGACTAATTTTTGTGTAGTTTCTTATTCACATCTTTTAGTATAAACTATATTTGATCTTTATATTGTCGATCATTTTCTTTCTTTGATCTTTCTTTAATTGGGGATCATTTAAATGAAGTACGGTGGTAAAAAAAAAAGTGTTGAATGGTCATAGAGATACAATATTACGTTTAACATGATCTATGAGATTTTCTAAGAAGCCAAGCCATTTTTGTTCAGGTTTGGAACTATTTAAATAAAGTGTGATCGATGACCACCTGGTGTTAAAAAAGGTAAATTAAAATAATGATCAGCCCACCCAAAAAGCGGGGCGTGGCACCGCCAATTGTCACACAAACACAGATACATGCAACACACCTGCTCACACACAGATACACCACACCCATACATGGGCAATGTCCAGGTTGCATTTTGCAGGTTGGCATTTGTATTTGTATCTGTATTGTTTGTCTGATTGACGAAATGCAAACGAAAATGTGTCGAAATGGGACTAAGCAAATGCGCCGATGAAAGAGCGAGGGAGAGGGAGAGCAAAAAAAAAAGGTGATGGGGGGGATGAGGAGGCTAAGGAGTAAAAGAGAGAGGCAAAAGTGATAAACATTGAGGTGCGATTTCCGTGCGCCGCCGTTTTCACCGGAGTTTTGTTGGAGTGCAGCGAAAAAAAAGAAGACAAAATTAAGGAGGGGGGTGGGGGAGAAACAGAGGAGGAGAAAAAAGAGGAGGGGCAGGGGGACGAGGTGCCGGCGAAGGTGTAAATACAAATAAGCGGAGGTGATATCTCAGAACTTCCTTTTCACACATTCGAGAGCACCCTACACAAATACAAATACAAACACAGTCAGCAGTGCAGGCAGTCCCAGCTTTTTTCAAGCTAAATACGCCTATTTATATTTGCATCGCCTAAAATACACTGAAAAAATGGATATATAATGGATATTTATACTTTTCACAATATTCTGTTGTGCGATTAGTATTGAATCAATATACATTTTTTTTACATTATTGTTCACGTAAGAGAACATTATCAGCGAATCGTAGCTAAAGCCTATCATAAGCCTATTATGTAAATATCATGTCGGCATTTTAAAATCAGTTAAATACCTTAGGGTTTATGTAAAAAGTTTAATAAGAGTTATGAAATTTGTCGTCATAATTAGCAAATGTCTAAACTTAAAATTATTTATTTATTGAAAATCTTTTCAAGCCCATGACCCAAATTTATGAAAAAAATGTTTAGTTGTTGCAGATAATTATATATATATTACACGGAATAAAATACTTTTTTAAAAAAGTATACTGATACCTTTAGGAAAATATATATTATGTTTGTTCAGCGAATAAACTTTTTTGGAACTTTTAAAAGCCTAGCAACACTGAAAGCCACTTGCATTTATTGGCGGCGGCAGCGCAGTTTGCGTCGCAGTCGGCGTCGCTGCCGGCGGCAAATCATGAAAGCAGCAACAACAAATGAAGCGAATGCCAATGCAGCAGGAGCGGAATAAGAGCGAAAGAGACAGGCGGCAGAAGGAGCGAAAGAGATGGAGGGAGCAGGAGCCAAAGGCAAAGCCAAAAGAAATGCGTTTCTTTTATTTTTGACGCGTCTTAGATTCTTCCTCTGCCGTCGCTTTGCTTTTTTGTATTTTTTGTGTTTTTTCTTTTTTGATTTCTCGGAATCGCATCTACTTTGAACCTTCCACGTTCCGACTGAAAACTCAGAGACCCGACTGCATTGTATATTTGAATTTCATTTCAATTTAAATACGATTTTCTATGAAAATGCACGCACCACAAATACGTGCAATCGTTATCCAAACCATCGCTCCCTCCTCCCCTTTATCACACTCTTCTTTCCCTCCTCCGTCCGCCGTCCTTCGTTTTTCTTCCCCCCTCCCCACAACGGCACATCCCATATAATACCATCCAAGTTTCATGAAAAAAAAACCGGGGAAACAAATTGATCATGTTTTGAATGCATTTCTGTTTGATTTCAATTCAGATTTGTGTACTCCAAAAATGCGAAAGATTCTTGGTGGGGGATGGGGGGAAAAAGAGCGGAAGAGGGAGTTAAATGGAGAGGGGGAAAATTATGTGGTATAAAGGGGATCCAAGTTAACTATGCCTTTACGAGTAATGTATCTATCTAATACAATATAGCTTCATGACTGGTATAGCCAATAATGTATGTTATTTCAATTTAATCTACCTAGATATTTCATTTCGGTTTCACCAAATAAAATACACAAATAAAAAAATTTTTTTAAACACGAATTATTGGATGTTTTTTAAATACAAACTACAACATTGGTATTGAAAAACAGAAATTAATGGTACGAAAAGAACACATACATTCCACCAAACACTATAAAATAAATAACCAAATACTAATTTTGAAAGATCACCCAATTTGAATTTTTGTGGGACAACTTTACACACTTGTTTTAGTTACAATAATATTTAATTTAAATTAGGATTCGATTTTATGAAAGGTATAAAACATATGTATTACAATAAACATGATGGGAAACTTGCATTTAATAAAAAGATATGCTTAGGAATTAACAAAAAAAATGATTATAAACAAGTATAGAAAATGAAAAAATTTGGAGTTAATAGAGTAAGTTATTATCCTAATTATGGGAGGGGAGTCTTTCATGGTTAGTATTCTTTGGTATTTGATGAAGCGTAAACAGTTTAATCCCGCCAAAACACGCAACATTCTGCCTCGATCCTTAGAGATCCCTATATGGAGTATAGTAAAGTATCAGCGGATTGCCTCGGATGGCCCACTTAAGCCAGGCGTGCGGCAAAAAGGAGACGATGAATCCCTGCCGAATTCGAATCCAAATCCAAATCCGAATCCTCCGCCAAGGACAACAGCGAGTGCCGAATGACCTTTGGGAAAATACGTGTGTTGATCGACGTCCATTGGCAATTGTTTAGGATCGTCGGAAATCTCTCACCTTTCGAATGGGAAATTCCTTGGGATCATATCGAGTGTGCAAACGAGAGAAGGCCGTCCATAAGCATGCAAATAAAGATTTCACACCTCGGCCAGCACACTAGGGTGCACTGTGCGGCCAAAGGAAGCAAAGGACGCGAAACGCAGAGCGATCGGGAGGACACCTGGGAAATACCCAACCTGCCCGAAACATATGGACGCACAGGAGGTATGGGATGGCATCGCATGGGATGGATGGGATCTCTCTGAATGGGAAGGAGAGCCGGAGAGCTCTGCAGCACTAGCTGTCCAAGTGGTTCCCGAAAAAACCCTCACAATATAATTCGTAAATCCCAGCCGCAGGTATTTAGTTCCGCCTTTTGTCCGTCTTTGGAATTCCCAATGCTATTATTGCACCTAAGCCACTGGAGTGGGAGGTTGCAAGTTGCTGCCGGCCAGCAACACCTCGCCCCGTCTCACTCTTTCGCTGTCTTTCAATCTTTGTCTCTCTCTCTCTTTGAATGCTGTCTCGCTCTGGTTCGTGCTATTCTTGTCGCCGGCGCCGCAGGTCAACAGCAATGTGTGGCACCCTCTATTGCTGCCTCTAACAATTGTTGCACGTTGCAGGTTCTGTGGCCGTTGCTGGTGTATTTTTGTTGCAGGTTCTGTGCCTTTTGGTTATGTTGCTGCTGCAAGTTACAAGTCTGTTATTGATAGTTTTGTAGCTTTGTTGCGTGTGAGTTTCCGTTGGTGTTGCAGGTGCTTTTGCTGATGTTGCACCTTCTTTTGCCCTTTCAGCAAATATTATTGTTGCTGTTGCAAGTTATGACTATTTATGCAACTGTTGCTGAAGTTTCCATTGATGTTGCAGGTTCTTTAGCTGATGTTGCATGGGCAAAAGCCCATTCAGCAGTGGCTATTGATTGTTGTGTACCTCATTGAATAGTTTCTAGTTATGTGGCTTCTTTTACATATATTATTGTTTAAGTAGTAGTTTTTAATGTTAATGCAGTTACTGTTTCTAATAAAGATTTGGTTAATTGATTGTTGCGTTGAACTATTTATAAATACAGACATGCACATTTGAGTTATTAAAATATCTTTAGAATTTTTTTTTTTAATTTTTGAATGCCATTTCTGTTGAGTTTATTATTGCTTTTACTATCTCCATTAATTTAAATACTATTGCTAATTAATTATTGCGACTGCTTGAAGATATTGCTCTTATTACATTTCTTATTGTTGATATTATTTCCAATATATCTGAAGTTCTTGTGGTTATTTTAGCTTAAATTTCTCCCTAATTTGCTACTATATTTTGAAGCTGTAGTTATGTTGCTAATGCTGTTTTTGTTAAGTCGCTTATGGTTTTTCGGATGTTATTTCTTTTTCAACTGTTGCTGTTTTTGGCTCATTTGCTTCATTCCTAGCTGTTGTTGCAGCAAACAGAAGTAGTTGTTGTTGTTGCACCGAAAATCCACACGCACTTTTCATTGTCAACAAATTTCCAGCCGGCAGACAAAGAATTTTTCATTCGTTTTTGTTCCACACTCTCGGTTTGAATGGCCAAGTAAAATTCTGGCGAGCGAGAGGAAAACAGGTCACATTTCTGATTTTTGGCCATGTTTTTCAAAGGGGGCAAGCGAGATGGCCAAAAAAGACCTGCGATCCGTTCCGATCCGATCCGCTTCGGGTCGCTTTTCCACCCCGGGGGCATTGTTTTCATCCCGAGAGAATCGGAGAATCTCCTTTTCCATCTCCTATCTTTTTTTTGTTTTCTTTTTCAGGTTTTTGTTCAGATGGGACATTGATGAATTGAAGAATGATTGCCGGAGAGTGCCGACGCTCAGGGCGGATTTTTCGGATCGGATCGGCTCGGCTCGTTTGTGTTATTCAATAGAAAAATAAATAAGTCAGACGGGTCAGGAGGGAGATAGACATGCACTTGGCCATGCCAGACTGACTGGCACCTTTTCCCTAATTTCCAAGAGACGCTGCGTCTGCGCAGACAATGGGTTTTTCTCGTTTTCATTTGCCCCTACAGGGTTCGATTCGTTTTTTTTTTTTCTATTTTTAGAGTGCCTGTGGTAATTGATAGCCGGAGCTAAAGGCTAAAGCCTAAAATCGAAAATCCCCGGAGCCAAACTCACCCGCTTTGCGCACAGGTGTCGATAATTCGGCCATCAGGTCGGCCAGACTCTTCTTTTGTCCGCCCTCGCTGATCGGCGAAATCAGTTTCTGGGTGTACGTAAAGTCCTATCAACAATGAAGATAAAAAAAACGAGGCGAATATCCATCAATTTGAGCTGAACTGATCTGATCTGGTCCTGGTTTTTCACTCACATCGTCCATATAGATTCGCAGGGGAATGTTTTTGAAGGACTCTTGATCGCTGTACGGCTCCATTAGCCTCCGGTTGACCGCCCAAAACTGATCGAACTTGTCGTTGACCAATCCCAGCCACAGTTGATTGTGATCCTTTTTTTGCATCGCGGATATCACCAGGCCGCGGTGCTTCAGGACATCCGCCTCCTTCAGGCAGGACATGTAATGCGATTCCAGCAGCTCCCTGAAAAAATGGAAATATCAGTAACAAATATCAAGAACTTGGAATAAAACAACTATCAAAAGTTATTTCAATTTTTTGATATAGGTCGACTATTTTTAAGCCCAGGAACAGTTTCTTAAAATTTTGTTTAGATGTAAGCAACAACCGATTCCTTAAAGTATATTGGCATACTTTCAACGAGCATCACCAGGCGATATTATATAGACATTACATTATTCTAATTTAAAAGATAGTTATGCAACTTTGTAATTCCTCCTTAAAACTTTAACTATTTCAATCTGATCTTCAAAAATTTCCTTATTTTTCAATACGGTTCTGTTTTTAACATGGCACACCTAAAAAAGTTAATGGTTTGACTCTCTAATAATTTGCATTAAGCTTTTTGGTTTTAAGGTTTGTAAATTTGTTATGTAAGGCACTTTTTTCTAAGTTTCAGTTCAGGAAGTTAACTCAAAAATTCACTTCTACAGCATATATTATTTTAAAGTGGAACACCTCTAAAAGATTGGTATTTAATTATCCTTAAGGGGCTAAATGGGTTTCGCAAAAAAATGATTTTTTTTATAAATTAGTTTAAAATGTCTAAAACCTATTTTCAAACAAAATCGATCGGTTAAATCTTTTCTGAGATAGGCTTTTAACATTTTGACCTTCAGATCATTTAGTCAAATAAACCGGATTTCAAAAAGTTATAAAACGAATTTGTTTTAGTATAATATATCGATGGAGTAAATGGTTTTTAATCTTGACTGGTTTTAATTTGAAAATAAATTCAGTTATGACATCCAGCGAACTGTTTAAAATAATAAGAAATAAAGCTTATGTTTACCCAACAAATTTCATTCCATGTAATATAAAAATGATTGTTTTCCTAGTCTTTTTGGTCAAGTTATGTTTTGAGGAAGATGGGTTTTGGTGACCCGACTTGTCAGTTTGATTATGCTGTATTCGTTTTCGATTTTTCGGTTACATACTTGGAGTTGAGCTTGACGAGCGTGTCCTCGGGGAACTTGGAGAAGTGGATGGTGAGGCACCAGGGTGTGCTGTCCTCCTCCGGATGCAGCAGATCGTATAGCACACCTAATCGGGAGTAGCGGGCATTAGTAAGCAATAAGAATCCGGTGATATCACCATGTTAATCCCACCAATTGGATAGTGAAGTCGCAGGGGCGTTCCATTGAAGTCGAACCACACGGCTCCGTCCTGGTGTTCAGCGGCTATGTAGCGGGAAAAGTACTTGCGCACCTGTGAACGAATATGGGAATTATCGGGATTGTACTATTTAGCCCAAATATTAGCCATTGTTTACCTTTTCGGTGACCAGGGGCAAGTAACTCAGTCGCGATATCATCAGATAGAAGGGCTCTGGCTTAATCCCCACGATCTCGTCGCGGTCCGCCTGGAAGCATATGCCTATCTGGCCCTCCCAGATCATTCGCAGCACCTCGCGGTCGTGGGCCATGCTCCTATTTTGGCTTTTGTTTTGCCTAAAATTGTATTTCCTATTTTTTGCACAATACGACTTGATAATAGCACTTGCGCTGACGAGCTGGCAACGCTGGACTATCGATAGGCGGGCAGGGCAGCGCTGCCAGACTGACTGATTTTGTCTGAATAATAGCTAGACTAAATTTAATAGCTAGTTTTTAATCATATTTTTTTATTCGATTTGTTTTTAAAATAAATATAGCTAGTTTGTTTATTTTTTATAGTGCAGAATATGCTTAAGAAGAATAAACTTATGAAGCATTCGGGATTTTTTACAGGTATTACTTTTATTTTGGTTTGCATATTAAAAAAAAAATTAAGGTAATAACATTCTTAAATATTTATTAAACTAAAAAATCATTTTTTTATATTGTTGTAACGAATGACAATAACTTTTATTCTGAAAAAAGTTTTACCAAGTTTAAAACTCAAATATAGCGGTTTTATTAGGATTTAATGTGTGGGTGTTTTGAGTTTTGAAAACAAAATTATGAACACTTTAGAAAAAAGGTTGAGCAAAAAATTCAAAAAGAAATAAATTATCAAGAGGCAAAGTTTAAAATTAATTTTTGCTCTAAAACCTGTGACCATATTTAAGTTTCTAAGGTACCCAAGCCTATCGATCGCCGGAACTTCGATCGATGTCGATATGGTGGCGATATTATAGCGATAGTTTCCAAAGCATCGATCGTGCAAACTAGCTCCTAACCATCGATGCTATCGATAGTGCCATCGATAGTTTGACAGCTCTAGTTCAGCGCATAAATAAATAAAGTCGACTTGCCTCTGCTCGCGTTTTTTGGTGATCTTTTTTTGTGTTGCGGCTGCGCTTTTTGAATCTTCGGATTGCCGTGCAATGTGATGTTAAATATGAAGTGACAAATCCCGAACGTGAAACGATCGAATATCCCTAAAAATCGGATGAAATACGGGAAAACTCCACCAATCGCATAGCATAGCCAACTCCAACAACAATTCGGAATCGAAGCGACTAAGGAGAGTGAGAGTGAGAGAGAGGGCAAGAGAGAAGGAGACGAAGGAGAGTGGGAAGAAGGAGAGGAGAGGAGGAGGAGTGGTGCACAGAATGGATGTTGAAATACCTGTTTTGGCTGGATATCTTAATGTGCCGACCCAAACTGGATTTTCGCTAAATCGCATCTCGAAAAAGGTATGGAAAATCGCCGTATTCCCCTTCTATAGAGCTTCTCCGACTTTTATATATCTACCAAGAATTACCAAGATCTCGAAATCCAAGCTTTTTTCGAATTTTTACAAGTGCGTAGTTTTTTCAATAAACCAAACAGGACTTATGTGTGCCAATGTGTGCGTGTGTCTGCATACTTGTTGCATACAAATGAGCCCCACTGTGCGAGTGGGAGTGAGAGAGCGAATGCGGCAGTGCGGGAGAGAGCGAGCGAGGGGCTGACAACATACAGTTATGGTCAAAATAATGGCCATAACGATGATTTTTCCATGATTTTGATTATAATTTTTGATAAAAATAGTATAAGCTATTTTCGATCTTTATTATAATATTTGGTATCCTTCAACTATGAATTCCTACAATTAAAACATTCCTCCAAAAGGAACATCTTTCTCTACTTATTTTTGAATGAATCATGTCTTAATTTTACGACAAAATCAGTTTGAAGCACATAAAAAACCTAAAGTATTAAAGTAAAAAACAAAATTTATTTTTGTTATTTTCTTAATTTAGATAATACATTTTTTTTATATTAATTCATAAACATCACATTCTTAATACTTGCAGTCCTGACTTTTTACTGAATTAATTACTAAGGAAATAGTTGAAATCTAAGGATAAATAAAACAATATATTTTCTGGAGATATCATATTTCATATGATAATATAACTTGATAGAAAGCTAATAGTCTGACCGCCAATGTTTGGAGTTTCAGATGGCACACACAGCTGGGCGATTCATACGATTTCATGGTATTTGTGTTTATGTGCGACAGGAAATTCTTGAGCCAGCAGAAAACCGAGAAAAAGAGGGGGAAAAAGGGTGGCGCAAAGGAGGGGGAGTGGGGTCCGAGGAGTGTTCCAGGCCTTACTCCATTATGTAAGCCAGAATCTCTGCTTTCAGTATAGCCATTAAATCATCAAGGGTTTACCAAAGCACCATTTGAAAATACTTAGTTTGGAAAAAATCCACAGAAAAACCTCTATAACTTTTAAAAATCCGCAATGAGAGATTCTTTCCAAATATAAAAAAAATTTTTTTTTATATAGTACCAGGAAATAAATAAAAAAAATATATGATAGAGTCAGTCTCTCTTCCTTTATATATATTAGATAAAAACTAATTATTTTTCAAAAAGGCCCACAATCTTTATGCATGAATTTAAAAATAATACTTGAAACGAATACTGGAAACCAAATCTGTTGCACAAAGTACTTCTTATCTCGGCAACATTACTATAGCCTAATTTCTTTTCATTATATTCACGAATATAAAACAGAAACATATTTTTAAAACGTTACTATCATAAAGTCATTTTTATATACCAAAACTGAGCTAATCGTATCCCGAAATCCTTTGCAGAAGGCATGCAGTCGCTACTGTTTGCTATTCAAGGCCAGTCGCCATGGGATCGCCCGATTGGAGATGTGCGAGAGCAAGGAGGACCGCAACCCGAAAATGTTCACGCTCGAGAATTGTGTGAAGATCACGCAGGAACCGCCGCCCGAACGCCTCATCCACATTGTCAAGCGGCACGGAACACTCACATTGAGCACGAGTAGCGAGGAGGAGCTCAAGGACTGGATCACCGCCCTCCAAACGGTGGCCTTTTGCGACACCTCGCCATCGGGCGGAATCGGGGCCATCGAGGAGGACAACGACCTCTACTGCAGCTCCTTTGTGAGTGATCACCTCTTTATGCGTACCACAAACTTAAAGGGGTGTGTCGATTTTATTTAAGGCACACTAACTCGAAGAGGGATATCATTTCTTGACATAAAACCTAGGTTTCTTTGATTATTTTTTGATTATATAATTGCTCAGATTTGATTCTATTTCATTTATTATTTTAAATATTGTTTCAGATATCAATCGATTTAAATTTCTCTTAGTTTTTTCGAAACCGTTTGGAAATTGCCTTTTTTATGTTAAAGGAGTTATTTATATCAAAATTATAATAACTAACGCGGTTTATTTCGTTCCCAATATCGTTTAGTTTTAACCCAATTCCACAAAAACAATTTTTAGCTGTTTTTCTATAGACCACTTGCATACATAAAAATTTTATAAACTTTCAACGACTCTTCGACTTCTGGAGATTGCTAAAGAGTTTAGCTTTTATGGAACACATAAATGCTCTGATTAAGTTGATAAAGGTTTATCTGCCCCCTGATTACTTTATCCCACACTGCTAACTATTAAATTTGGTTAGACGGGGCTGCTAGTTACTAAAATTTTATTTGCGAGATTAAGCGATGATTAGCTGCGATGCTGGAATGGGCAGCATTTTACTTCGGGATCGTCGATGGTGCGTAAGGAGAGCCAGTGCTTGGATCCGGCGGTCTGAAGCCATTGTAGATAATGCACAAAGGAGTCAAAGTCGAGGCACTGTATCTGTCGGCAACTAAATCCATGATGATAGGGCGCCCGGCTATCGTAGATCCATGTGCGTCCATTTTTTTCGCCCCGTCTGTGGAACTTTTCTGGCGATTTGTGGCTAAAGTTCGGGATAAATTGCACTCGGTGTTCAATAATTGATCTTCATAGACCCCGAACTTACATGTCTTTTATAGCTTGGAGTGCCCGCTGGCGGATTATCGGAGCACCGGTCACCAAATGGAGAACTGGCGGACCATCCAATTGTTTGATCACAGACAACAGGGACACAAAGGGCAACAGGTGGAAGCGCACGGCTTCCATGATATCCAATGCATGGTTTTTCCGCTGGGGCCACTGGTAATCCAGCCAAAGGATGCCGGCTAAGAAAACCTAAAAAGAAGGATGTAGCGATACAGCGCCCGCAATAGTATCCAAATGATTTACGACCAGCTAAAACAAAACCCAACCTCCATTTCCGTATTCACAGCCAGTGAAGACAATCCCAGTAATCTTCGTACGGTATCCGCTCCCACAAGCAAAAACTCCTGGCTGGCGACAAACTGCAGAAAGATACTGCTCAAACGCGTTAGCAAACCCTCCTCCAGATGCAATCCAATCGCCTTGCTGCACATATATATGCATACTGCCTGATCCGGCACACAGGAAGCCGCATCGATTCCCCGCCAACAGTTGTCGATGAGTTCCTGGCAACCAAAGAACCGTGCAGCCCTAAATACCTCCATCAGTTGATTCAGAGACAATGTGTTGGACGGCTCCAGAGACCAACGATACATGGCCACAAAGGCTCGAGCGCTGATCATCGAACTGGGCAGGTGAAAGATATGCGAATGGGACAATTTCGGACGCCGGAAAAAGGACGAGAGCACTTGAAGCACCATCGCATAGCAATGGAATTGATTCTGCTCGACCATTACAATCAGATTGGGTCGTGCGTTTTTCCGAAACATATTTACCAATAGTTCGGCGAATGAAATGCGCGGCGGACCCGACGACTCCATCCAGAGTTTATCAAATGCCCGACCAACACTTTTCTCCGGATCCAAATTCATTACGAGTTGGTTGATTGAAATTTTCGGCGAACGTCGCCCGTTTCGATCGGTCTTTGATTCATTGAAAGTTAAGGGGTTTTCTAGTTGAAAAGGGATTTCGAAAAGTTGTTTTTGCGTTTGGTAGATAAAAAGATCGCTGCTTTCTGAGAATTCGTTGCTTTCAGTGCTCTTATCTTCGATTGTCATTTTCCCAAAGTCTTTTTTCTCCAGCTTCTCATCAGAGATTTCATCCTCTTTCTGTTTTTCTTCTTCAGACTCAGACATGGTTATTCTGTAAATTCTTTGGTTTCACGTTGAATTTCTATAATTTGTGTAGGTTTTATTTATTACAAAATAGATAAATAAAAAAAAATTGTCTATGTAATTTGTAAAACAAAGCCAACTTTTTTTGGTAAAACTAGCTACGAATATTTGCTACAAAAAGTCGTAAAAACTAAAATAGTAACATCATATTTTTATTAATTATTATTTGCTAATTGGTTTAATTACAATGGAAACTATTCAAAGTGTTAATTTTATTTCGTGGCAAAAACAAACAAATTGTAGAAGACGTGTTATAAGTGGTTTGCAAAATAATTTATCCCCTAAAATATCAGTCTAACTTAAAAATTTGGTACGTTTAAGGATCACTTGATTTAAAATCAAATCAAATAAATGAAATTAAACAATAAATATTTCCTTTTTTCCATAGCAGGATGGCCTATTTATCATTACGCTGATTCCTTCGGAGGCCTCCATTCGCTGCTGCATCGAACCCAAGACGTACATGCTGCAGATGACGCCCACAGAACTGCAGCTGAAATCGGAGGATTTCGGCGCCACAATCGCCATGTGGCCATATCGCTTCATTAGAAAGTATGGCTATCGCGACGGGAAGTTCACCTTCGAGGCGGGCAGAAAGTGCACCACTGGCGAAGGTGTTTTCACCCTGGATCACACCAATCCGCAGGAGGTATTCCGCTGCATGTCCGCCAAGATGAAGTCGATGAAGAAACTAATTAGCGGCGACAGTCTAAGCACTTTGGAGTGCGGCGAGAATCAATTTAGTGCGGCTGCGGGCATGGAACCCGGTTCGAGGAGTCCCCTGCCCCCATCTCCATCGAGTAATCCCCATGGCGGCGAGTTCGAGATCAATTCGACGCAAAGTTGCGTTTCCCTAAGGGGCTTCATTAGCTCCAACGATTCGCTAAACAACTTTTCGGCGGCCAGTGGTGGAAGTGGAGCAACGGCGGGCGGAGGAGGTGGTGGAAATCCATGCACCGGAGGAGGTATCACCTTATCCGTACCCGCAAACAGCAACAGCAAACACATTCCCAACAAACCGCCACGCAAACTGGGTGGAGTCAGCCCAACAACCCATTGTGATAAATACAGGAACATTGTTAAATATGAGCCTGTGGCCATAACGACGATATCCTCGCCATCCGCCACCTCCGATGCGAACAGTTCGGTGATACTGAAGCCCCTGGAGAGCCAGGGTGGTGAATCGATATCCCTGCCGGAAATATCACCCGATTTGCCGCCCGACTTGCCGCTGCGAAATGAGAGCGCCTCGAAGGCCCCTCCACCGGAGCGGGATTACGAGTGCATCGAGAACATCACGGAGGCGTGGCGCACGAGGGGCGTCGGCGATGTGAGGCACTGCGAACGTATGCCCATACTCTGCGATACCTCGGAATTTGTACGCCAGCGATCCGTTACGAAGTCCTCGGGAGGTCAGAGTACGCCCAAGATCATCGACATCGACATTGGCGAGGGTGGTTGTACTGGTAGTGTCACATCTATTAGCGAATCCAATTACGATCGCCTGGACTTTCTATCGCCGAACAACAAGACATCGAGTGGCTACAAGACCATTGTGAATGTCACACTGCCCGGCAATCGCATCCGTTGCAGTCCGCCGCCACCCAATGAATACGAATTGATCGCTAGTCCCGATACAGAGAGTTTCCGCAAGGCCGACGATAGTCATCTGGGATATGGGGTGCTGCGAAAGGCCAGCACCATTACGAACAACAATAATCTGGGAATCTCAAACAGCAACATCAGCGGTAACAGCAACATCAATAGCTCGACGGCCAACAAGGGAAACCTCGAGACTTCTGCCATCGATCATCGCAGTTACAATGGCCTCAACTACACGATCGTCAGCAAACCGAAGCGAGTGTGAAAGGATCTGGAGATCGAACCGGGTGCAGTGGGGTTGGGGTGGATCAGAAAGAGATAATCAAGGTTTTTAAATTTCCCAAAACTGTTACTGTTTCCAATTTAATTCAGCACACTAGTTGCCGTTGTAAAGATATATACAATTTGAACACGAGACCTCTAATTAAGCCGGTAATTCACAAACTATACGTGATAGAATAAGATGGGGTAACTTAAATATATAAACGAACCTTGTTCACCATTTACATATTTGCTATATTAAGATTCAATGTAAAACCGATCCTTTTCTCGTCGCCATGGTAACTTATGTAATGTTTTAGTTTAAATCCTACTATAACCTTACTTATTAGTAAGACATATCTTGTTAGAAAGTGAAACAAATAACAAAATCAAATCCAAATTGTCTGAGCATTGGAAACAGTAACAGGCCCATATTTTTTTTTGTATATTTTCATTATTTGCATTTTGAGTATAAGTGAAAAAGAAGAGACTGCCGAGTGCCTTACAGTTCTACAAAAAAGAAACAAAAAAACAAAAACAGGCTTGAGATCGAGGGAAGGGTTTCCTCCGAATCTCCGAGTCCCAGAATATGCCCTTCCCTTCGCCCTGCCAAAAACCATTCGAATCGTTCATCTTTTTGTACTTGTTTTTCGTTAATTATGTTAAATTCGTAATCTGTGATTGTATTGTTAATTGTGAAACTGTTAAATTTTAGCAAGCACTGCCCGCCACTTGATCGCACTCGAAGAATTCCCCTGCCCTCACTTAAAATCTAAAATTAAACACTAAATCGAATCCTGGACGCAACGAAAATTTACAAAATGTGTATGCAATTTGTGCTAAATATATGTGTTTTTGTATATTTTAAGAATATAGATTTAAAATACACTGCAGTTGTAAATGTTTCCGTTTATCCGTCCGACTCTCAAGGTTTTGCTGCCATAATCGGTTATAGAAATCCCTCGAATTGTTATTCCTATTCGTTTTTGTATGATACATCATATAGCTGCCATAGGAACAAACGGTGTAATGCCATAATCCCCGAAATCTCCCACACTAGTTGGCTCTTTTTTATTCAATCCTAGACTGTAAATATAGATTTCTTAAGTGTTGTTTTAATTGCACTTCTACTTATACCCCAAAAAAAAAAAACCCATAAACCACCCCATGCACATTCGAGTTCTCAAGCCAGGATCGTTGTAAACGAAATTTTTGAGTATTATGCAAAGGTCACAACAAAAAAAAATTAAACAAAAGGAATCGAAAGCGAACACAAAAAAATACCAAAAGAAAAATTGTGACGTACATTTTACTTAAAGAACATCATTTTTTTTACTTACTTTACGTTAACGATTATGACTATTGTAATTATTATTTTTTGTGTCTGCAAACTATTATTGTGTAAATAAAGACCAACAAAATCAAACCAATCTAATTATATGATTTTGAGTTCTCGAGGAAAATAGAAAAACAAATTTTAAATATAATTTTGTTCTCAAGTATGCCTGGATAAAAGCCTCAGAATCGTTTTGGCTTTTCAAACGATAACTGAAAATCGGAGCTAATTTCTGCTCTCCGTACTATTTACTCTAAATAAGTGATTTCGCGACTACACTACTTAATAAAATAAAAAAAAAACCAAAAAGAAGATGCTGCTACTGCGACGTTGTCCTAAATTAAATCTGCGTCCATGGGTTCGTCTTTGCTCCGCTGAACTGATACATAAGGTGATAATTTCCAATACTCCCTAAAGTTAAGATGTTTAATTTTTTAATTTCCCTATTCCAGGATGGCTTCATAGAGAAGTTGCGCCACAGCTTCGACGAGGATGAGCGCAGCAATTTGGTGGTGCCCACATTCAAGAAGGCCATGCTTTATCCGGATGAGATCGCCATTAAGGACATCACCGGGGAGTACACCTATTTCCAGTTGTATCTGGCCGCCAAACGCCTTGCAATTCAGATCTCAAACATTTGTGGTAAGTTATCTCCATTAAACGCTGAATATTGAACTTGACTATCACCCTAATTGTTCACTTATTTCTAAATGAATACCTAAAGTACCATACCTGATATCGTTTTCTTATTTAGTAGCCCCTATCAATATATATACCAATATTTATAACCATCGATTAAAAAATTTGTTGATAATAACTTGTCCAAAAATGTGTAATTTCAACATGTTTACTCAATCATGAATTAAATTAAATTCCAAATTCCTATTATAATGGGGTATTTTGTAAGGCTTATGACTATCTTTATTCCAATATTTATTAATTTGACAGTAATACAATTTCCTAGTTTGAATATTTTTACTCAATCGTAATTATTATAATTGCTATTCCACATTTTATCCTCAAATATGGTATGATCGATTATTAGGCCTAAACCTAACTATATCCCAGAATTCATATCATTTGGTTTATTAACATTATAATTTCCCCGCTTTGCAGGCAGTGCCTCGCTTTCGAACGTGACTTACTTGTGCTCGAACAATGCCTTGTGGGTCGCGATCCAGTGGAGCTGTTGGATCTCTGGCCAGGTAGCGGTGCCCCTGGAAGCTGGCCAGGCGATGGATCAACTGCAGCGCCAGGCTTCCAGCTGCAAGACCAAGCTGCTAATAGCCACTCCCGAGTTCGAGAACCTCGCCCAGGAGTTGTCGCAGGGACTGAAATCGGCCACTATCGTGCTGGATCACACGTTTGTGCCGACGGCGGAGAGTGTGTCTTCCACCTCGATGTATGCCAAGCAACTGGTGGGCACCCAGGGAGTGATCCTCACGGAGAGCACCCTGCCGAGTGACTTCTATGCCAAGGCACCGGCCATGCTGATCTATACGCCCAATGCGGTGAACAATCCCAAGCCGGTGCTATTGACCCACCGCAATATCGATGCCCAGGTGCGATGCTTGATCGGCAGTTGGCGTTTGGGACCCACGGACTGTATGCTACCGATACTATCCATGAATCGGATGCATGCCGCCTTGGGGGCAGTCTTAAATGTGGGCGGTAATGTCGTGCTGCAGCAAAAGTTTGATGGTCATAATGCCTGGAGTGCTCTGTTGGGCATCAATAGTCCATCAAAACAGCGGGTCACCCTCTTTTTGGCCATGCCCATTGTTTACAAGAGACTGATTGCTGAATATGAGAAGATGTTTGCGAAGGATTCGCGAATGGTCGAGTATATTGTGAACCATTGCCGGCAAAAGATCCGACTGATGGCCACCGCTTTTGCCCTGCTACCGGATTCGGTGTTCTTCAGATGGCGCGAGATTACGGGGCAGAACATCTACGAATACTATGGAATGATGGAAACGGGCTTGGTCCTGGGTCATCCCCTGGATGAGCCCCATCGCGATGGAACAACTGCGTCTTCAGCAGCGGGATCAGCAAGTCCAAGTAATGCCAGTGCCCTCAATGATTATCGACCGGGTACTTTGGGTGCTCCCCTCAAGGGAGTTACAGCCCGATTGATTAGCAATAAGGGTGACGAACTGATAACCTGCAAGAACGAACTCGGCGGAACTGTGGATCATGGTCTCATTCAGGCGGAGGACATCGGCGGCAATACGTCGTTGGCCCAAACCGTAATTGGTGAACTTCAGATAGCTGGTTCGCATCTGGTGTCCAGCTCCTTGGCCAGCAATAATCAGCAAACGGAACCGGAGAATGCCCAAGATGGTTTCTTCAAAACCGGCGACATTTGCGCCTATCAGAATGGCCACTTTTATTTCCTCAGCAAGACCAGCGATGTCTTCACCGTCGGCGGTTACAAGGTTTACGGATCGGAGATCAAAAAGGTATTGATATCGCATCCAAATATCAACGATGTGGCTGTTTTGGGTATACCAAATAAATTGTGGGGCCATCGTCTCGGCGTTATATGCATTGTATCGCCGGATGCGGATATTGATTTGGATGCGATCAAGACGTACTGCTATCGCCACTTGCCGGCCCACAAGTGCCCCACCGTCTTCAAGACCCTCGTGTCCAAATAAACCTATTACCAAAACTAGTCTTAAGTCCCGTCCTCGTTCTCGCGTCCTAAGCTACAAATTCATGTGATTTTTCGCGCTGTTATCCAAAAGATCTTTCTTTGTCATAATAATAATAATAATTTTCAATATTTTCAATTCAATCGATGAAAGTTTTTCTTTATTTTTAACCGAAATACAAAAGGTATTGTTACATTATTTGTAAATCAGCTTTTGAGAAATTGGTATGCCAGAAATATTTTTAAATTTGTAAATAATATCTACAATCTTGACGTCTTAACAAAACCATTTATTTGATGGAACTTCATGACATCGATTCGTGTACAAATCCTCCAAAAACATTTAATTTAAGCACATAGTGGTGGATACTGCGAGCTCAATCCCTTGGGACACTGACTGCCTGCTTTGGGGCATTCGCTGTAGGTACTGTGATTTATGACATTGGTATAAGCGTAATTACAGGCCAAATTGAATCTGAGGAACGCATTCAGGTTATAGGTAACTATGGCACAACCCACAGCATAACTTTGTTCGTTAATCAAAGCGGTCAGATGTCCAATCGTTCTGTTTAAAAACGTTGGTAACTTTATGCGATTTTATTAAAACTAAATAACTTACAGCGGATTGTTTTTGGGAAATATATTCAGGTCAGCGGCTGTGATGTGTTTTTCCTCGGCTGCCCAATTGTGAACTGCTAATTCGAAGAGTTCCTTTGCTGTTATCTGCATTTGAGCCCCATTAGATTGCCAGAATCCCACATTCATTAGATTCTGTCCGGATAGCCGAAACTTTTCGGTATTGCGGCAATTATCATGCTTCATAACACATCCTTTGGCATTGAGTTCTGCCAACTTTGCCAAGTCCTCGTTCCATTCAACTGTGGCCATTTTGCAGGCGATTCTTGGTATCTTCGCCTTGCCACTGGCCCATTTCTGTCTTACCAAATTTTGGGCGTTGATGAGTGCATTAATATCATTTTGATTGATTTTAACCACGGAGGCATTTTTGGAACAGGCGGGGCCAAAGGATTCGTTCAAAGGCTGCTTATGGGACATTCAAATATATCAACAAAATTGTATACATTAAAATTGTAGTGTTATTGAATTACTACTAATTATAGAATAAAATTGACCCAAATGATAATACAATTTTCTAATTATCTATACAAAATGTAGCTTATCAAAAATTTCACTTGTCATTTTGTATATACATTTTAATTTTTGTAAGCTTTTTGATTAAAGAGATAGTAAAAATAACCACTTATCAAAAAATTAAATGTTCGATACATATTTTTAAATATTAAAAGTCACTTACACACGCAATATGAGTGGTTCCTTCAGGACAGAGGTCCTTCCTACAGTAATTCTCACCCTGACAAAGGATCACAAGGCTTATAACTAATATTAAAAACTTAAAGGAGCAGCCTAACATCTTGCAACTTTTCTAGAAATTCAACAAGTGCAAACCTTTTTATATGCAGCGGAGTGTTTATCTCTGGATAATTTGCACGACAATAGTTGCAATTAATAAGTTACGACCCATTTTCAATTTAAAATATACGTTTTCAAGGGCGACAAAACAAGGAAAAGTAATAAATTTAAGTACCAATACATAAAACAATCCTATTAAAAATCGTAACATTTATTATTTATTTTAACTCATTCAAAAAGATGGTAAAACGTTAAACAAAATAATAAAAAGTTATTATTATGGAAATATTTTTTTTATTTTTCAACATAAAAGTGTTTTAACATTTGACATTTATAAAATATATAAGAATTATAAAGTACATAATTATAATATATAGTAAACTTTAATTTTAAGGATCTTCAGAAAAATATATCGATAGCTCGCAGTTCTGATAGATAACTTCTTTACAACACTAAAGGCGCGCATTCAAAAATTAAATAATAAAAGGCTAACCTAATTTGGGACAAATTAATCATTACGTAAACGGTTAGCTTTATAACAAAATGGAAATACAAGAATAGCTATCAGAATACCTCTTATCCCTCTATCAATGTCTATAATTTTTTTTGTTAAGTTAGCGATAAGTTTTGTGAATGTTGAAGGCTTGTTGTTGTTTACTATTTTTTTTTTTACAATTTTGTTTACGCACAATTTTTTGTGTTAACGTGCCGGTGGCAACGTCGACGTTACAAAATTACCCTTTTTCCACTCTTCTTCTTGGGAGCTAGATAAAGCAAAAAAAAAAATAATTGGCAGCTAAAAATAGCAGGCGGCCGCAAAACAAAAAACCATTTACAATTATGCTGAATGGGAGTTGTTGCTGCTTTTTCTGCACCAAAAAAAAATGTGTATTACTTATTAAATAAAATAAAAATAAAGCAACAGAAAGACAAAAATAAAAATACATACATATATCGAATATTAAACAAGGATCAAATTATTTTAGATTCTTTTTCAATTTTATAAGTGCAAAATTTATCAATACGGTTTTATCATAAAATATCAGATTCCAAATTGAATAACTTTATTTAGAAATGTATAATACACATTAGACCGATACGAAAAAACTTGAATTGCTTTAATATAAAGCTCAAATTATTAGGCGAGAAAATTAAATCAAATGATATGTTGAATATTTTTACATGTATTTAACTTATATAAGCCCCATATGATCATTTTTTCCGTGCGATGGATCTCTACTTGGCACTTAAGGAGCTTTCAATCGCCCGACGTCAGGGTTACACGCCGGTGTGGATTACACCAAAAAAACTCACATGCCTCTTGTGTTTGTTTAGATTTTTCACATGTTTTTGTTTTGGTTTCTTCTTTTTTTTTTGTTTTTCTGGGCCACGTTGTTGTTTTTTGTTTTCTTTCCCTTTTTTAGAATGCTGTTTGTGGTCGAAGGTCAATTGCACAAGCCCTAAAAGTGTGTTTATTGGTCATAAATAAAAGATTAATTTAATTAATTTATCATTACCGGCGAAGGCGAATGCGAGCGGCATAAATCTTTCAATTTTATAATTCAAAAACAAATTATTGACCTTACTGTAATTAAGATTATAAAGAAAATGGCAATTTTTCAGTTATATCTTAAAGACAAACTATCTTTCTTTTATAAATAGTTTCTATATTATTTGTTCTTATTTTATTGGGTCTTATCAAAGATAGCTCTTTAATTAAATTTGAGTTGCCTAAACTAAAATTTATTGGAGATTAATAAATTATTAAAACGTTACAAAAATTAAAGGAACACATTTGAGCTACTATGTATACAATAATCTATTACAATTTAATATTCTAAAAATCTTCAGTTTGCATGCATTAAAATCTTTAATAAAATTAGAAAAACAATATAAACGATTACTAGCTTATTTACCAACCAATAAAAAAAATTGGTTGCCAAAAGTATAAATATTTATTTATTCAATAGAGGCTCTAAGCAAAACCCTTTACCTTAAGTGCTTCTCAAACTGTAACCAGATTTCATGGCTTTGTTTACCCGCTGAATTTTCGGGTCCCAATATTTACCAAACATTTTCAAAAAGCAATTCCAAATTTCCAAATCTATTTGGTGTTTGCCTTTTTCATTTTCATTTCGTATTTGCTTTCTGGCCTAATCTTTACTTTAAAGTTGGGTTGGCTTTTATCTCTCGCTTTTGGGTTTTGTAACCCGCGATGGTCAGAAAGTCATGTGTTGTTATTTTTATTTTTCGATGTTGCTATTGTTTTTGGGGGTTTTATCAGCCATTATAAGCAGGTCGCTGATAAGGCGCCCGTCAGCTGTAATTTAATTGAGTACACTGAAAAAAGAAAAAGAATTTTACTGGTACCATTAAAATAACGAAAATAATTTATATATATTTTTTTAAGTATTAATTTATAAGGTATTAATTTATTCATATTGAAACGACTTATGTTTATGATTTTGTACGATGTACAATAATAGATGAGATCATTTTTATTTTCAGTGCCCACAATTATTTGTAAAAAGTGGGTAGTACAATACGATTTCTGATTTAAACTGTAAACTGGATATACATATTATATCACATTCATTGGAATGTAAATAATCAATTTTCCTAGAAAGTGTTCAATGTTTAGTGAAGTAAAATAACCTCAACTTAAATATGTTGTTTTGGTATAAATATTTTCTTCCGTGTATTAATCTTTTCAAGAGAGTTCTAGAGTCCCAAAGTGTTTCCACTTAAAAATTTAAATTTAAAATTAGGGAAATTGAAAAACCAGGGAATAACCTACGACAACAACGAGAAAAAGGATGCGTTGCAAGTGGCACGTAGTCGCAGTTTTTTTCTGTTTTTTTTTGTTTTTCTGGTGGTGCAGGCAACTGGAAAACACACACGCACACACACCAATGCACGCGTCGCAATTAAATTTTATGTCATTTTATGTAAAGACGCAGCACGACATCTCTGCCAACGTCGCTGCCTCTGTCGCCGGTGTGTCGACGTGCCAAAATCCGCATACTGAAAAAAAAAACTAGTCAACCCAAATAAAAACAACCCTTCTTCTTCATGGGATTTGGCACTAGAAAGTACCATACTTAACCCTCTAAATACGCAATTAAATCAGTCTTCGGAAGCGCCAAAAATATGAATATGAAAATAGTTTTCATACATTTTTAGGAGTATTTATCGTTAGAATTTAAACAAGAAAGAAAAACTTCGGGCGGAGCCGAAGTTGATATACCCTTGCAAAATATTATGTACATTATATTCTCCAAAATTATTCATATGATGCATTCTTAATACTCATAAAAAATCCCAACTTCCTAACTTTAAAAACACACGGCATTTCCAATCGTTCAGTTATATGGCAGCTATAGGATATAGTCGGCCGAAATTTGATAGGTCGGATTGATTGGCCAAAAATAAAACCCAACTTTCTAACTTTACAAACACCAAAGTTATGGCATTTCCGATCAATCAGTTATATGGCAGCTATAGGATATAGTCGGCCGATCCCGTCCGTTCCGACTTATATACTGCGTGCAAAGGAAAGAAGGGTGTGTGCAAAGTTTCAATTCGATATCTTTAAAACTGAGAGACTAGTTTGCGTAGAAACAAACAGACGGACAGAAGGACATGCTTATATAAACTCAGGAGGTGATCCTGATCCAGAATATATATACTTTATAGGGTCACTGCGTTGCACACTTTTGACCAAAATTATAATAACCTCTGCAAGGGTATAAAAATATATACAAATTCAAGTTGGCATAACTCAAATTGTCGATTACTAAAACTCATTATTAATTTTCAACCAACAATTTTTGTATAGTGCTTTAAAATCCCTGCGTAATACTTCATCTGAAAATCAAAAATAAATAAATTAACACTTAGCACTTAATTATTAAAGCAAATACCTCAAACTATTATAAATTTTTGTTAAAATAAAAAAATAAATAAAGAAAACATGGTGGTTAAAAATAAATAAAATATGTTAAGAAGTTTTTCTTAGTTTTCATTTTCTTAAATATTTTTTTCTGTTTATTTATGAAATTAGAAACATTTATTTTAAATTTAATGTGCTATATAATTTTCTGATAATTAACAATTAAGAATTTGCATTTAAATCGAACCATGTTACGGTAGTAAACATTTAAGAGAGTTAAAACAGCTTCCAACATCAACAAAAATATAATTTCTCACATGTTGCTGCTGCGCTGTAGTTCTTCTCTTTTCTTTTTTCTTTATTTTTTTTATAACTTTTTTTTTTTGAGCCGGCGTTGGGGCGCAACACGTACGCCAAAAACTGAAAAGCAGGGAAAACAACAACAGCAGAATCTCTCGCACACACGCACATCGATTTAAATGGCGTTGCGGAAATCTGAAATGGCATTAAAACTGTGGAACTGGGGACCTTGAAAAGCGCGACAAGAAATACTAGAAACGTAGAAGCTTAATTCACGAAAGAAAAAAAACAAAAAAAAAATCGAAGAGCATGGAGCACAAGGCTTCCCTTTCGAGACGAGACGATCTTGTCCAATATTCTCGGGCACTACGCATCGCACACGTGTGTGTGTCAACAATGGGCCCCCCATTCCGATTAGATCCCCCGGCACACGCCCAAAAAAACATGTATAAAACAGCAGGGGAAACTTGGGAGTGGACTTACAATTACAATACAGTGGGCCCCGCCTACGGTAGAAGTCAAAAACTAGTCATTTTTTAAAAAGTAAAATGCTTTCAGGCAACCCATTCTTAATGGGGCTTATAATTTGACCCCATACCTTAAATTAATGTTTTGAAACGCTCCATTAATATGATATGAATTAAATAAGTCAGATAGATCCATTTTCTAGAAGATTAATGATCAACTATGTTATTAACGTATTATTAAAAAAGGGATTTATTATTAAGAACTACATTGTATGATACCGACTATTTGAACTAATAATTATCTATTATTTACATGCTTGATAGATCAGAACCAACAATTTACAATGTTACTTTAAATAATTTTTGTAATCAGCGTATAAGAAAAACTAGCAAATTAAACTTTTAGGTACAAATGTAACATTAATATTTTTCTATTAATGTCTTAGAAAAGATCTAAATATATTCATATAGCAGCTTTGCGAATATTCACTGTACTTTTGCACCTTTTTTCGCGCGCGCTTTTTTATTACGCATTTTAATTTTGGGCAATTGAAATTTTTGGGGCTACTTACTTGGTAGATGTTAGGTGGATCGTGGGTGTAATAGTAAAAACTCTTTGTGACGTCATTAGACAGGTCGTGTGGCTCCAATTTGCTGTTTATTTTTTCCAATTTTCACCCTATGTTTGCATATGCAGGTGCAGCAGCAAACAGAATATAATTTATGTATTTGTAGCGGGCGCATGCTAAACTGCACACACTCTATATACTATATGGTATATCACATTCGACTGGGACCCTGTTTTGGTGGTCATATGTTTGCAGTTGTTTTGTGTTGCTTTTGATGTCCCTGGACCTGGCGTTACGTGACGGTCGGAAAGTCAGCAGACGGCCGATGCGCCGGTTGTTCTCGCACACGTCCACCCCAGGAGAAGTGACGTTTATGCGGGGTCAAGGGATATCATGATCAGTAGTTATTATATTAATATTAATATAATAATATTTATTACATATAATTATCTGCTAAAATAGAACAGTCTTGATTTTACAACTTCTTTAATGAAAAGACATTTTCTATTATCAGTAACTAATTGATATTATTCATCTCAATTCCTAAGCGTTATTATAAATTTAATTCGAATTGAATGTTGTTGTTGAAAATAATTTCAAATAAGTCAAACAAAAATTAAAATTTACAACAACCCAGGTTTTCTTGTTTAGAAAGTTTTTGTAGGTCTAAACTGATTTTAAAATCAAAGGTTTTCACAGTTCTTGTAACCTTGCTTGGTTGAAGATATCACGATTTCGCATACGCATAAACCGCTTTGGAAACTTCCCGGCCAGCTCACATGTTTCGGTTTTCTGTCTGTATTTCCAAGTTTTTGCCTCCGCAGAGTGCAGTGCACTCTCTGCCGCATTCAAAACGGTAAAGTGGGGGGCCTTCGATTTTTATTTTGTACATAAAATGTTGCACTTCTTGGCGGGACCAGTGCTTTTCAAACTGTTTGGTGGGCCTACGGTTTTATGGAAAGCATTGATCTTGGTGGCATGTGAAATGCGATTAAAACTTCCATGATGATTGGGCATTAGTGTACAGCGATCTTGATAATTCCCTTTAATTTTCACCGGCCACTGATATCCATTCCAATCGCGTCTTCTCATTATTTTTTTTGTTCGTTTTGTTTTCGATGCAATGTTTTTGGGTCCAAGTCCACTGGCGCTCTATTTGATCAAGACTATTATACAATCTCACACTTACACCTATGTACATATGTACACACATACATATGTAATAAGTGGTATGGGTGTCTACAGCGGAGGTACCAATAATAGGAGTCTTAAGGTTTATTGAGAAATGCATTGGTAAAGTTATTTGATGGATACATTTGGACAACTAAGCTATTGTTTTAGAATATTTAGATTATGTAAAAACATTTTTTTTCTTAATATTTATTTTCAGTACCTAAGGTCCTATTTACAAATTGAAAAATATTTTTGAATTTATTTTTGATATTATACGCGTACATACATATGTATGTTTCTCAAATACTGAAAAAATATTTACAAATTAACAAGTCTGTAGCTATGTTTCATGTTTTAAAAAGCCTTGTAATAAAACTATTATTTCTACCTCAAATGTGTCTGTAAACATGCGTTTTCGGTGGGGCAATGAAGTAAGTAGAACAGAAACGGAAAAACAGAAAAACCGAGACCCAAAACTCGCTCACTATTTGTGCGTGTGTATGGGTGTGTGTGCATAGGGGGTGAGGGGTCTCTTTTTGGAGGGTGAAGAGGACTGAAGGGTGACTTGGGGCATACTGTATTGGACCGACAGTTTGTCACACGCATCGACCTAATTACGCACTTTTTGTGATATTTTGTTTTTTAATTTTTGTTTTCGCCTTCATTCGCTTACATTATAAATGGATATTTGCTGTGCCTATGCGTTAGTGTCAATTTATTTATATAATGCATTTTCCATATAACAATTAATAGAAATTCTTTATTTAAGCGAGGTTTGACAGTCATTGTGTTTTGTTTTTGTTTATTTTTGCTTCTGCTTATGCTCCTTCTTCCTCTCCTTTTCTTCTTCACTTTTTCAACCGGCTTACACGGTCTGCTTGCGAGTGTATGTGTGATTACATACAGCAATGGTCGCAATAACAGTACTGACTTATAACACATTTTTTTCAACATAATGTAATTATAATAAAAAGTCAATTTTTTTTACTTTAATGGTTTGTTGGTGTTCCAAGTTGAATTATAGTTTGATATTAACAAAAAAGTAAAGTAGATCTTAACCTTCAGTTGTAAAGGATATTTAGTTAAAGTCCCATTCCAATGCAATACATTTCTTTATTTGTTTCTATTCAGTACACACTTTTTACATAAAAGTTTGAATTTGGTGTAGAAGCTCTTCAAAATGATTTGTTTTGTTTTCCAATAAATGTAACAATTAAAACATCTTTGAAAATGTTCGAATATGGTTTTTAATGATTTTATTTTCAGAAATGTAACCATTTACTATTATTTTGGTCACAATCGTATGCATATTGTCTGCTTCTGGTAACAATTTCCAAGTAGCAGCTTGTGTAGTGCCCCGCACCCTTCTTATGCTACCCTCTTCATCACACATACACAGTCGCACACCCGCTCACACACACTATGAAATACCGCTCTGCTTTTACAGACGTCGACGTCGACTTCTTTTCTTTGCGCATTGATGGTTTTCAAAACGAATTCGAACGCTTAAGCGAACGGTTGTGTTTCCTCCCAAGCAAAGAAAAAAACAATATTTCAAAAACAAAAAATTAAAAACCCAGAGAAATCGAAAAAAGTTGTTAACGAACGAAATAGTGTAATAAATTAAAGCGGACAAAAATAAAAGAAAACATTTTTTTGTGGTGCATCCCAAAAAACCGGTTGTTAAATGCGCGCTGCAATAAAAACAACAAGAAATAAACAACAAAAACCATAAAAGAAGCAACGTTGCACATTTTCTGGACTGCTGATAAAACTGTAAAAAAAGAAGCAAAAATTTAAGAAAATTAAAGAACATTAGAAAAAAAATCTGAAAGAAAAACAAGATGGCATTCTCGATTGTGAGCCGCGGTATTTTGCGCACTTCGAGAGAAATTCTGGAACGCAACATGGCCGCAACTGTCGGCGCTCTTCAACAGACTACCACCCCGCCCCCGAACACGCCTATTTCGCACAGTGACTGTCATGTAAGTGCATCTTTTTTTTCCCGGTGTATGCGAGTTTTAAGTGACGATAATTCAATTACCAGAAGAGCTCCAAAAAAAAAAAAAACAGGTCACAAAATAACTCATTTAAAATGATGGGGTTTCAAAACAAAGATTTTAAAATATATGGCCGAAAAAGAGTTAACATGTATGTTTAAGCAAATGTTTTTTAAGCAGGGGCTTAAATGCAAAAAATTACATTAAATTTTCTTAAAATATATATTTTTCAAACAGTTTTTCGAAAATAAATAAGTGACAGGATCTATAAACAAATTCCTTAAGAACAGCTTTACAAAAGTAAACTCAAAACAAAACTGAGAAGTAGAATCGCAATTCGGAAAACAGCAAAAGGGGAGTGGAAATATAGATAAAGAGGAAGAGGGAAAATAGAGAGGAGTGGAAATGAAGAATGAAAATTGGGAGAGAGAAGTTTACGAATTGAGGCCAGTGGTAAATAAACTGTAAAGGTATCTCTCAAACTGTAAGAGCTCTTACAGGAAATTTCAATTTTTAATGCCAATTAATATTGACCACTTTTTTTACCAAATGAAAGTTAATAAATCTCTACATTTAGATCCCTAATATATGTATGTTCTCCTTAGTATATTCCGATATTTAGATCTTATAACGCCGACATGCTACAATTCATATTTGAGGTGTGTTGATGATTGAGGAAAATGGCAAAATGCCTCAACGATCAATCAATAAAAGGCGCAGCAATTTAATCAATCAATAATAAATTAGAAAAAAGGTGCCGAAAGACGCATTTCCCTTAATAAAACTAATACAAAAAGACACAGTAATGCAAACAAAAGAAAATTATACACAAAAAAATTTACCAGAAATGTTTCAATCAAGTTGAAAATTAATTATATTATTTATTGCTTAAATTATTCAAAAAATAATCTTAACATTTTATTGCAATTTTATATACATTTTACCAGGCAATGTAATTTGTACAACTTTTTTTTGCTAGGGTAAGCCACCATTTCTCATTTCTATGTTTCTCATTTCTCTATGTTTGTGAGCTACATATATTTGCATACATTTTTTGGTTTCAAAACAAATGTGTTATGTTATTCACTCAATGTAAAACGACACCAGCTATGCCAACATCATATTTATTAGTATTTTCCCTGTGTGTTCAGGTGAAAGCTAGTTTTCCCCACTAACAACACCCTAACTTTCAAAGTCTGCAAACTGCGCAAATTCTGTGGCAGGGAAATCTTGCGCAAAAGCATTGGATGGGAATAACAAATAAAGGGACTTCCTCCCCTTTTTCTCTCTCTCCCCCCGGAAAAGAAGTTTTAGAGTCACAGGAAATGATTTTAGTGATGAATTCTGCTTGCTTTTTTTTTCGCGATTTTTCTTTTTGCTGCTGATTAACATTGACCTGTTGCTCGACTTTGATTTTTATTTGCCGCCTCTCTGCATCTTCTTCATAAATCATTGGCATTGTTTTTTGTTTTATTTTCTTATGATCTAAACGTGTTTTTTTTGTTATCGAGACGCGCAGACGTTTAAATGAAAGGAGGCCCGTTTTTCGCATTCATTAATTCGTATTTTGGAGAAACTTGTTTACGAGAAAAAACAAAAAACAATCCAAAGTTCGTTTAACCAAACGAAGCAACTGGAACCGAAAAAGGTTCCCAAAACACCACAACAATAAGTGTGCGGGTCTGTATGATAATGGTGTATGTGGTATATGATATCATCGTCGTCGGCGGCTGCCAACATCTGTATTTGGATTCTTTCTTATCGAGCCATTGAAATTCAAAACGTTTACAAGAGTTTTCGGTCTCTTGTAATTAAAAAAGAGCAAACTCTTTATCGTTTTCTAATGGCATTGACAGAAGCTGTCGAACAGATGATGGAAAAAACATTTCTTCGAACTGGTATTTGGCATCTATTATTATCTTTCTAAATTTTCAGTGTTGCAATGTTGTGAGGCATTTGTATCTTACTTAAACATATTTTAAGTTCTGTGTATTAAGAAAGTACGATTTTTTTCTTATGATTAAAAGTTCGGTTTTAACAATGTTGTTAATATATGGTTACTTTTAAAATGTTTTATCATTTTTGTTTTTGTCTTTTTCTGGCCTTTTATAATTCAACTGTTTTTTTCAAATATTCCGAAACTGGTTTCTTATTTATTGTATTAATAGTGTTACATGATTCCCACGTGGTTTTTTCCCCCCTGAGAGCCTCTCAAACTGTAAAATAAATTCAATGCATAAATGTGACAGTCACTCTCGGCACTTTTTTGGGGCAAACAAAACATGAAAAACTCGTAAAAACCGATAACGAATAGGGTTTAGAATTGTTTGGTGAGTAAACAGAACTGACCTTAACAATGGGAAAATAACAACCAAAACAAAAATACGAGAGAAAAACAGCAGTGCGCTGAGTTGTAATTAAAACATAATGATTGCTTATAGGCCGAAGGGCATACAGCCATATCAAGCAGCAACAAAAAGAGCATTCAGAAAAATAAATAAACTTTAACATGGAGATTGGGTAATATTCTATTGTTAGGGTACCAGCCTATTCTATTATAAACATTAATGGCAACAATTAATTATAATAACTATCTTAAACTTTAAAAGGATATTGCCTACTTGTAGAAATTATAATTAGTTAAAGCTCCAAAAAGTAGAAAGCGGCTTACTTGAAGTTAAATAACACAGCAAGTTATTTTTGTCATGGATAATAGTATACAAAAAACAAGTAGGGATTTAATTGGTTCCCTAATATTAAGTAAATACCTGTTATTCTTACATAATTGAGGCCTCTTATTTTTCATATTTAATTGACTTATTTCTCTTTACTTTCTACCTATTTCAGCGCCTTTTCCTGGCAACCGGTGGCAATATCTGTGGACATGGAGCACACTCACTGCTGTGGCATCAAATGCCAACTGCCGTGGTCCAGGCCGTCCGTCAATATTCAAAGAAATCCGCCGGAGCGGCCAAATTGCGACGTGAGGTGGAAAGTGATAGCGATTCCGATTCGGACGATGAGTTCGAGCGTCGTCGCCAGAAAATGGATTCCAAGCGCAGCGAACGGGTGAGTGAACTGCTTGAAAAACGCATAAATATATATTATATGTCGGATATATAATCCATAAAAGAGACAAGCCAAGAAACGTGTTTCGAAATTTGGTTATCGCGCTCAATGCCGTTTTTTGAACCTGCTCTGTGGTATTTAAAAATATCTCTAACATTGTAACCTGGTTAACAGTGGCCAGTTAACAGAGGTAACCGGTCTTGAAGTACGGCCTACTTTAAGATCAAAGCACCAATTTAGACTCATGCACACCAAGTTACAGCTTTAGGTTACAAAAATTAGACTTTATTTATATACAAGCTTAAATCTCAAAATTATTTTTTTTCAAAATTCTACACGTAAACAAGCAGTATTTTAGGACCTTAAGCAGTTCACGACAAGTAAAGCAGTATATTGTTGTGTTCTTTGAAGGAGCTTTTTGGAAAATAACACAAGCAGTATAACCGTGTCCTGCGGCTTAAAAAGCATTTCATAAAAGCAGTTCAAGGAAACAACAAGCTTTAAAGCTCTAAGTCCTTAGTCCTTTTTAAGCAGTTTACAAAAATAAAGAAAGCAGTTTTAAGTTTTAATAAAAAAGCTTTTAAGGATATTGGTCTATTTTAAATCAATCATATTCTACATACTTACAGTTAAAAATAGTAAAATAAATTAATTTCGATTTCTGTTTCATATTTTTAGGGCGACTCTGCCTTCTGGCGCCGCAAGATGCGTACTCTGCACCGCATTTTGGACGTCAACCACGACGGCGTCGTATCCTTTGACGACTTTAGTTTGCTGGCCAAACGCTTCAACGATCTGGGCCATTTGACCCCAGAGGTCGCCGCCGAATTCAACGATGTGATCAAACATACGTGGGAGGAGCAGTTCGGGGAGATTACCCCCTACAATCTGGTGACTGCCGAGCAGTTTCTCACCGATCTGCACCATCGTCTCAACGACAAGAAGATGGCCAAGCGCATTGGTCGCTTCCTGCCCTATTTGTTTAAGGTTGGTATGCTCTCATACCCAAAGAGCTTAATTAAACCATTAAATGCTTTTTTTTTTGGAAAATTGGCGATATCATTTGACTTTTAAGACATATCTGAAACATTTAACCTGAAAAATTCCATATCAATTGATTTATGTAACGATTAAAGTTTAACTAGAACCCTATCTATTTTTCATATAGAAGAATTCTTTTATGAATACCACAAACCAATCAGTTTTAAATGCGAATTATTTACAATTATTATTTCAAATTAATGGATTAATTAATGTGTCTCACACCTTTGATTTCATTATTATAAATATAAATGTTTTGTGTCTAAACGCGAATTCTTCATCATTGTATATTCAAATCTCATTCGTAAAACACCGTGTTTCAAGCAATTAGTAGCTAATTTTCATTGCTTTTTCGCTCGTTTGCAGGCTGTGGACTTTGATCACACTGGCCATTTGGATCTCGAACAATACAAGCTCTTCTTCCGCTGTCTGGGACTGACCGAAGACGACGCTGCCGTTTCATTCGCTGTGATAGACAAGAACGGCGATGGCCAATTGTCGCTCAAGGAGTTTGTGCATTTGGGCCGCCAGTTCTTTTTAACCGAGGACGACTCAAAGATATCGAAAATGTTCTGGGGACCGCTGGTGGCCGATCATTGACGGGTTGCAGTCACTGCTGTAGATCACAATACAATCACAATAATACCAGAAAATCCGTTCTACAATCTAGACTATCCAAATCAACGATTGCATAACCAAGAAAACGTCCGATGCCACAACATCGGCAGCAATAACACCATAAAGCCAATGCTAAATACATTAAAATCGACAACGAAGATGGCCAATAATAACAATGATGATAACGATATAAAGATAATGGCCCATTCGTTGCCAACTCGCGTGCAGGCGGCAGGCGGCAGTTGGCTAAATCTACAGCATGTGGCGCCGCATAAATCGGGACCAATGAGAACCATGATGACCAACACCACCACCACGATCGTTATAAGGAACATGAGCATTTACGACTATTTACGCCAACATTTGTGCGGATCGAAGCGCCAGCGCTCGACCTTTGAACCCCATCCATCGTCCAATTGTCCCGCCTCCAAATTGCGAAAGCACAACTTTAGCAATTACCAAAAGGAACGGGAGAGGGAACGTGAAAGGGAGAGGGAAAAACAGCATAAACATAAAGATCACCGATCCAGGGGCAGACCATCGATGGATGACTACGATATAAGATTCTTTTTCTACCTTAATTCGCTAATTTTATTCACCATGTCGTGCAGTCGTCAGTCGGCCGCCGAGGGCGATGACCTCAAGCACTTTATTTGCGACCGGATCCGGAAATTCGATCGTTTACGGCGAAAGGCCAGAAAGCGCCGGAAGCGAAGGCCCAAACAACAACAGCTGACCGAGAATCAAATGCACCTCTAAACACTCGGAAAGCGGAGCTACTACATACTACACATGCGCAACCCTATTTACCATATACATAATCGATTATTTTTTTGCCTAGTTAAGAGTTACGTTTAACTGATATATTACACAATACAGCAAGCATGATATAACGGAATAAAACTGATTTTAAAATGTACGATTAATAATACGAACAGAGTTTTTAATTCTTTGGGAGTAAGAGGTCTTTGAAATTATATCATTATATATCTTGTATATGAATTGAATTCTTTAATTGTTCTTTGATGTGATTTAACTATATATTTGTAATATTCAGTTATTGACATTATTGTTTCCAATAATTTCCGAAGGACATGATTGTGTACTGCAAATGTAATAGAATTACACAGCCCCCGTTTTCATTTTCCCCGATCGCAGGAAACCCGTCTCCACATTTTTCGCAAATTGCATGCAAATGCAAAAAGGCAAGCAGACGGTACTTCCTCCCATTTTTTTTAGAGTTCTTTTTTCTTAATTTTTTCCCTCACTTGGCATCTGCGGCCACATATCATTATGTAAGCGCCAGCGAAAAGGATTTGCGATATCAACTGAAAAGTGTTTAGCTGGATGTTACGACCCTACAAAAAAATGGTACCTAAAATGGGAGATGGGTCAAGCAAAGTTTCTAATGCTCTTAAATATTATTACATTTTTACCAAACAATTAACTTACAAATACTTTTTTTAAATATTAAAAAATACTATTTGAAAAATGATTTTTATTATTTAAAAAATTTGTAAATGAAGGGAGACATAAATGAGGCAAGATATCTGGGAAGTAATTAATTAAATCTTGCAATATACACACATGATAATAAGGGAAAATATATTTGTTTAGATGATATAAACCAAACTTGACAATAAAATTAAAGTTTTATATTCGAAAGGGTTAAGAAAAATAATTTATGATAATTATATATTATCCAAAATTAATTTTCGCTAGAGGAACCGTTTAATTTAGATAGCAATGTGTATTTTGCAGGTTACCAAGCTCCGAAACTCCATGGATAGGGCATGAAAAAGAATTACGTTGTGGAAAAGGGCAAGAAAAACTTGTCGCGCGTAAATCTCTGTGATGGCAACCTCCCACGGTCGTCTAGGCTGGCTGACCAGAGCTCATTATGCGCATTTGTTGCTGGGCTGGAAAAAAAAATAGGGGGCTAAGGATGCTACGCCCATTTCTTTCCTCTACTTCTAGTCCTTCTCAAACATTTTTTTCCAGCCCCGCAGCCTCATTTTCCCCGCTCCTCTGCTCGTTTTTTATTCATTTGTAGCTAATAATTTTAATGCTATTCAAAATTATGTTGCAAAAAAAAGAAGCGGTAGAAAAATGGGGGAGTGGGTTGAGTGGGTGATGGAAGCCATGTGAAAGCATTTTTCGGGACCCCTCACACACACGAGCTCGGCGCTTATAAATTGCATTTGTATCTAAAAGGACATTAATTTTGGTTGCACAACAAAAAAAAAATGTGTTAACCCAAAAATGTTAGTATTTCTTTAAAGTTTTTTTTTAATTTAAGTCATTTGGCAAACAAAACTTATTCTAGAGAATTGTATAGAGAGTTTTTACAGATAAATAAATATTAATTTTCTATATTTATAATTAAAATAATATTTTTCCCTTCCAAATTAATAGGTTGTATTAGACCCTGATAAAATTACATTTTTGTTTACAATACTTCAAGTAACTAAAACGGTTTCAAAATGTTACTGAAGTTAAGTATTTTTCGCAGTGCATTTGCGGGTAAGTCTGTGTGTGCAAGCAGAGCCGTCGTCTTTCTGTCCCTTTTGCGCATTTCTTACTCGCTTCAATATTTTATAATTTAAATTTTTTTCCTTCCCCCCATTTTTTTAATATTTTTTTTTGGTTGTGCCACGCACATGACGACCATCGCTAATCCTTTTGCCTCACATATACTCTAAAAAAAATCACACACACTTGCTCTGCTACATCTTTCATTATGTAAATGCACGCTTTACACAATTTTTTCCTATGCACTGTCCACTCTGGCAACCCCCCACCCCCAAACCCCATTTTTTTAGCATATTTTTTATTTGCCAACTTGGGATTTGCCAGTGTGTGGGTTTGTGTGTCTATATGAATAAAATATATATCCCCCACACACACATGAAACTGGTTAAGTACATATGTAACTCGCCTTCGCCTCGTCTCCTCCACTAATTTTCATCTTTTACTCTTCTTCGCTTGATTTTTTTATGGTGCCACCCACTCAGTCCACTTTTTGCCATTTCAACGTGTTTTATCGCGTTTTAAGAGCAGTTTTTAAAAATTAAAAGCACGTCCTAAGTCCACATTTGGTCAACAGCTGCTGTTCAAGATGGAAAAGCCATCCACGCTTTCCCTTCCTCAGTGTCTCTCTCTTTTTTCCACTGGATTTCCATTTGAATAACACTGCACTGAAGCTGGATTTTATCTATACTCGTATATATTTTGGAATTATGAAGATCGACAGACGGACATGGCTTGATCGACTCTGCTGGTGATACTGATAAAGAATATATATACTTTATAGGGTCGGAGATGTCTCTTTCACTGCTTTGCAAAATTTTGAACAAAATTATAATACCCTCTGCAAGGGTATAAAAACACCAAAGTTACAGCATTTCCAATCGTTCAGTTATATGGCAGCTATAGGATATAGTCGGCCGATCCTTATGAAAGGTCGGATTGATTGGCCATAAATAAAACCCATAGAAAATCCCAACTTCCTAACTTAGCGAACATCACAGTTATGGCATTTCCTATCAATCAGTTATATGGCGGCTATAGGATGCAAAGTTTAAATTTGATATCTTTAAAACTAAGAGATTAGTTCGCGTAGAAACAGACAGACGGACAGACAGACGGACAAGGTTATATCAACTCAGGACGCGATCCTCATCAAGAATTTATATGCTTTATAGGGTCAGAGATGTCTCCTTCACTGCGTTGCACACTTTTGACCAAAATTATAATACCCTCTGCATGGGTATAATAATTTGATAGCAGATTTTCAGAGAATTGAACCATAAGCCTTAAGAGGTATGCCACTTTAAAATCGACTTAAGTTTGGTAAAGTTATGGACTCTGGAAGTCCAGATGTGGGTGACCTTTTTACAAGTTGTCATAATCGTTGAAATAACTAACATGAAAATGGGTCATCAATTTAATCAACGTTAAAATGAAAATTTTGAATGCAGATTTTTTGAGAATTCTACCACAAGTCTTTAGAGGTATGCCACTTTGAAATCGGATTACACTTGGAAAAGTTATGGAATCTAGAAGTCCAATTGTGGGTCACCTTTGGGCAACTCATTGGAAACTTAGAAAAAACCAACATGAGGATGGGTAAAAAAATCGGTCAACGCTAAAATGAAAATTTTGAATGCAAATTTTTAGAGAATCGAACCACAAGTCTTTAGAGGTATGGCACTTTGGAATCGGATTACATTTGGAAAAGTTATGGAATCTAGAAGTCCAATTGTGGGTCACCTTTGGGCAACTCATTGGAAACTTAGAAAAAACCAACATGAGGATGGGTCAAAAATTCGGTCAACGCTAAAATGAAAATTTTGAATGCAGATTTTTAGAGAATCGAACCACAAGTCTTTAGAGGTATGCCACTTTGGAATCGGATTACATTTGGAAAAGTTATGGAATCTAGAAGTCCAATTGTGGGTCACCTTTGGGCAACTCATTGGAAACTTAGAAAAAACCAACATGAAGATGGGTCAAAAAATCGGTCAACGCTAAAATGAAAATTTTGAATGCAGATTTTTTGAGAATTCTACCACAAGTCTTTAGAGGTATGCCACTTTGAAATCGGATTACATTTGGAAAAGTTATGGAATCTATAAGTCCAATTGTGGGTCACCTTTGGGCAACTCATTGGAAACTTAGAAAAAACCAACATGAGGATGGGTCAAAAAATCGGTCAACGCTAAAATGAAAATTTTGAATGCAGATTTTCAGAGAATCGAACCACAAGTCTTTAGAGGTATGCCACTTTGAAATCGGATTATATTTGGTAAAGTTATGGAATCTAGAAGTCCAATTGTGGGTCACCTTTGGGCAACTTATTGGAAACTTAGAAAAAACCAACATGAAGATGGGTCAAAAAATCGGTCAACGCTAAAATGAAAATTTTGAATGCAGATTTTTTGAGAATTCTACCACAAGTCTTTAGAGGTATGCCACTTTGAAATCGGATTACATTTGGAAAAGTTATGGAATCTATAAGTCCAATTGTGGGTCACCTTTGGGCAACTCATTGGAAACTTAGAAAAAACCAACATGAAGATGGGTCAAAAAATCGGTGAACGCTAAAATGAAAATTTTGAATGCAGATTTTTTGAAAATTCTACCACAAGTCTTTAGAGGTATGCCACTTTGGAATCGGATTACATTTGGAAAAGTTATGGAATCTAGAAGTCCAATTGTGGGTCACCTTTGGGTAACTCATCGAAAACTTAGAAAAAACCAACATGAAAATGGGTCAAAAAATCGGTCAACGCTAAAACGAAAATTTTGAATGCAGATTTTCAGAGAATCGAACCACAAGTCTTTAGAGGTATGCTACTTTGGAATCGGATTACATTTGGAAAAGTTGTGGAATCTAGAAGTCCAATTGTGGGTCACCTTTGGGCAACTCATTGGAAACTTAGAAAAAACCAACATGAAGATGGGTCAAAAAATCGGTGAACGCTAAAATGAAAATTTTGAATGCAGATTTTTTGAGAATTCTACCACAAGTCTTTAGAGGTATGCCACTTTGAAATCGGATTACATTTGGAAAAGTTATGGAATGTAGAAGTTCAATTGTGGGTCACCTTTGGGAAACTCATTGGAAACTTAGAAAAAACCAACATGAAGATGGGTCAAAAAATCGGTCAACGCTAAAATGAAAATTTTGAATGCAGATTTTCAGAGAATCGAACCACAAGTCTTTAGAGGTATGCCACTTTGGAATCGGATTACATTTGGTAAAGTTATGGAATCTAGAAGTCCAATTGTGGGTCACCTTTGGGCAACTCATTGAAAACTTAGAAATAAGGTCATAAGGTTGGGTAACTAAAGTAAACTGAAAGAAATAAAAATTTATAGAATATTAATCTATATTTGATCATCTGTAAATCTGATTTATCTGTGTATGCTTTTTAATACAGGTAACGTTTAACCAACAAAGTTAATCCTGGCATAATTCTATTTGGCAGATAAATAGGCATTGCAGTTATAGCTGTTTTAAGTGCTTGCCGCAAAATTCCTTTGCGGCTGGCATAAATTTCGCAGCTAATCATAGAAAAAAGAGACTCAAGGGGAAGGGGGAGCTAAGGGGACATATACTTATCCGGCGAAGGCCATAAAAGTGCGCTAATGTTAACCCGTTGCGTTGGCTCCTGTTTGAATTACAACACCCCCACACACCAGCGAGGGGTTAAGGCTGCGTTATGCTGTTGGCATGATAATTTAATTACAGCCCTGGGATTGGGTTTTGCGGCAAAGGCGGCATCAATCTGGAGCTTAGACAACACAATCTTCCACATGTGTATATGTGGCATCTTCGTCTTAACACCTTTTGGCCAACCTTTGGAGTAAGATAAAAGCGGAACAGCGGCAAGGTGTACAACCGAAACCGAGGAAATCACTCCCGAAGTGGGCGTCAAGGAATTAACATTGGATGACTAAGGAATGCTCTAGTTTAGGATAGATATCTAGAGATGGTATATATGTAAAAAAAATCTCACAGTTCAAAATGATAGATGAAATGTACAAGAAAACTAAAAAAAAGGTTATTTTAAGTCCTATGACTTCCTTAATTATTGAAAGCTTTTACTTTAAAGAAATTACTCATACGACACGTATGACAGAATTATTGAAGGAAGAATTGATTGAAGGACAACAGTACGTATGAGTGATATACTTTAAAGTCATAGCACATGCCTAAAACGATTTTTTTTCCAACAAATTCTTTATGGTGTGCGGTATTTGTACCAAGAGCATAGTATGTGCAGGTAATAATAGACCCCTAAAATATTTAATACAAATTGGGACCACCTTAGCCTACAAAGAATTAAATGGAATTCGTCGGGGAAGTTCTTAATAAGCTCAAAAAAATTTGGTAAAAAATAAAATATATACATAAAAAACGAACCATTTAAACTGTTAAACTGTTTTAAAATCGCTTAGAAGAAACCTGTAAAAATGAGTACTTATTGTAAAATAGAAAATTGCCTTTAAAATACACTTAAGGAAACCCGTTTCCTTAAATACTACAAAAAATATAAAAAACTTTGCAAGATGCATATGCATTTAGTCAAGATCTTTGCATACAATTTAAAATAAACTTTATTATTTATTTGAATTACAGCCCCTCATATAGCCCTATATTCTGTGGGTGCCTTCCTGCGTTGTCAGGGTATAATTATATATTAAATTAAGCCATTTGCATGCGCGTATTTTTGGGCGCCCCCCCTCCCTTTTTTTGTGGCCCGGCTGTGTTGTAGATTATTAAAAATTATGTCTCACAGTAGGACATGCAATGCTGGCAACCCTTCCCCACATCGCCATATAGCCACATAGCCATATAGCCATATAGCCACATAGGCCACATTAACGTGCCTGAGATAAGGAGCAGGCAGCAGTTGCAAAAATTGTTTCGCTTTTTTCTTCTCTTTTTTTTTTGGTGGGGGGTTTCAGGCCCCCTGACATTTATTACTGTTGTTGGGCCAACGCAAATCCACGCAAAAATTATATTTTGACGTTTGTCAGCGGTTGGCGGTGGGGAAATGCGAGCCAGAGAAGCCTACATGGCAAAAAGATAAAGAAGCAGAACAAGAAAATGCAGCAGGAGAAGGGGTTTGGGGTCACAAGGGCAGTGGTGGGTTAACCCTAACCCTAAAACGAACGAAATGCACTTTGGGGGTCTGGGGGTCGAAAGCTGTGCGAAATGCCCTACAGGCGGGAATTCGTGAGACTTTCAGTTTAGCAAGGAACATTAAAACAACTTTGTTCAAATCGATAAATTGTGAAATATGAAAATATACGTTACATATTCATTAAATAAAAAATATATATATTTAAAAAATTATACAAAAAAGAAAAAAATTTTAACAAGACCGTCAGAAGTTGTAATATTTTGAAAACTAATAATGTATCTTCGTTTCGACAACCTTAAAAAAATGCGCATTTAGATATTTATAAACTCAAAATTCGTGAGCAGCTATTGATTTTGAATTAAAACTTTTAACTTTTGGTTCAAGTTATCTCTGTAAACATTGGTAAATTGCAACAGCTGCTCTATTTTGGTGCAGCGCAGTATACCCAGCCAGAAAACTCATACATGACGGTGACAACTCTGGCTGCATTCGTACCTTGGGGAGGTCGCCTCGTCCGAGATTTGTTTAACTAAATTTATATTCTAAATGCCGTCTGTCCTGTGGTTCTGCCGGGCTTTTTAGCCCCTTTGTTTTGTCCCTCTCTCTGTGACATAAGCCGCGCTGCTTAGTTTTAAAAACTTATTTTAATGTTGGAATTTAATTTTTTTGTTGCGCTTTTCGCCATTGTTGTTGTTCCAGTTTGCAGCGTCGGCCTTTTGCGATTTGGGCCTGGCCAGATGTCCCTACTCCACTCTTAATACATTTAAATTGCTCGCCGTGTGGTGTCCAAAGCCTTGGTAAATGTAACGCCTCAGTGTTGGATGTTATGTAACAAAATGGAGTGGTTATAACCAGAACATGAAAATCGAGATTTTCCAATCCATATTTTATTTCTTATATTTAAAATGAAATTAAATTAATGAGCCATTTCAGAGTTTATATTTAAAATAACTTAGGAGCAAAGAGTACGTACATTTGTGATCGATTTTTTTGCAATTACAATCATTTGTGGAACCTAAAATCGAATACAATTAAAACTTATGTATAGGGATTTAGCGATTGAGCGAGAGGATAAGGCGGAGTATAGATATGACTTGGATCTACCAGTCTAGCATAGTTGATATATATACGATTAAATATATAACTAAACTAGACCCGTTTCTTCAGCAGGCGCAAGGCTCGTTGCCAGAACTTCGGAACCGTCAGTCTTTTTCGAAGATCCTGCAGAATCTCACCCATGTTCTGATCCTTGTTGTGCGGCGGCATCGGCAGCATGGCATCATCGGGAGCGATTTGAGGACCTCGATAGGATTCGACGACAGCCCGACGAACTCGTAGAGTTGCCGACGACATGTGCGGCACCGGGGAAATGGGTTCGACCATCCTGCCCACGTACTTCTGGGCGAAGTTTGTATTGATCTGGTTCTGGTTGTGGTTCATCTTCAACGCCATGATATCTTTTATAAGGACTCTCCGTAATTTCTATGGACGGCGTTATTTGAAAATTTGATTGAAGAAAATATATATAAAGAAATTTTTCGTTGGTTGCTTATCATTTGCCGAGCCAGGTGTAACTGAACTTTATTCGAAAGTCTATCACGAACGTCTATTTGACAGTTAACTTACGTCAATCGCTATGGGTTCTATGTTTATTCCGAATACTTAAAACTTTTAAACGAAAGATTAAGAATCGGATAGATTAGGGTCTTAGAAAGTTTGAGAATCGCATAGAAAGGACCTTGTTTTTTTTCCTGATGCTTTCTGTATCTAAACAACTTTTTATTGTCTGGAATAAAATTCATCCATTGTCCTCATCAAAACAATACAATGCTAGATTATTGTATGGTTCCTGCCATTTTTGCCTATTTTCGTGTTGACTTATGCATGCAAAATGTGGGTCCTGTTTTATTTTGATTTCATTACGCTATAGTTTGTTAGATTTTTATAGTTTTGACCTAAACAAATAGGCCAACAGCGTGAAAATCATACAAACAAAAGGACGGTGGGCTGCGGGTTTGGTTGAGTGGGTTAGCATGGCTTTCGGGTTCATAAATTGTCAGCACAGGACGTTGTTTGTCCGCTGTTTGCTGTGGATGCGGTAATAAAATCGCAGCGCCGTTGTTGTTGGGTTATTTGCTAATCGTTGGCGGATTTTGTGGTCGCTTTGCACTAAACGATTTGAATGGTTAAATGGGAAAAGATTTCGGTTGACGATTTTACTTTGAAAATTTTGAAAAATATTCAAGCTAAGTAAGGAAATAATTTGTATTGTTTTCCAAAAAACAACTTAAAATATATTATGTTTTAAACATTTCCTTAGATGTTCCATTAATTTAAATATGGTCCTAAGAATATTTAAAGTCCAACTACTCTAGAGATTTTAAATTAATTGAATTTGAAAAAAGGTGTCTAAAACTAAGTTGTAAAATACTAAACGGCGTTTTACGGATGTTTTTTGTTGACTTTGTGTTTAAAAAAATATTATAGCATAGTTTTAAACACCTTTTGGCAGTTGTAAACATACTTAAATAAATCCTTTTATTTATTATCACAACACTTTGTATTTTTATTCGAAAAACTGTTGCATATTCCAATATTTTTCAAGTTGGATCGTGCATTTTGGGCCAAAAGTCTGCTGGCATTAGCTAAGGTTGAGTTTCTTTTAGTTCCATTTTGTTGGCGGTGCGTGTGTTTTTGATTTTTGCAGGTGGTTCACGGCAAACGGCAAAACGGAAGCGAAACAGCAACGACACCTTTGAGTGAAATAAATGATAATGGCCTCAATGATTATGCATCGGCACGTTTCTCATCGCGACAACACACACAGATACACACTCACACACCCAAAAAGCAGGGGGAAAGGATTCAGGATTCAGGCGCTCGCTGGTTTACCGTTTACCCGTTAGCTGTTTTTAGCTTTGTGGCTTTTCTTGTTGCTGTTGCTGTATCGGGGCACTGAGAGAAAATTGAATATTTATATTTATATTTATCCTAAAGAAAGTTGAAACATTTTGAAGAGATTACTTTCAATCACTTTATTCATGTTATGAAGATACTATCCAAATATTTAATTATTTAAATTGATTATTGTATATCACAACCGATGAAATATTAATGCAAAAATATATTTGTTTTTATACACTATATTATTATTAGAGAAAAGCTTGTTAATAATATTTCGAAATTGAGAGTTACTTATCAATAATTTCTAAAGGATCTTTAGATTTTTTAGCTATATACTATTATTTATATTAAATAATAGACAAAATGATGTTTTCGCTTTGTTTAACAAATATACAATTTTTATAAAATACAAAATTCTTTTTTCTTCGTGTTTCTGTTCTGTTACCGCCATTTGCGCGATTTGCCAAACAAATTACAAATTGGGTTTAACTACTATTTTTTCTCTCGTTTTTGTTTGTGTATGTGCGAGTGTGTTGTTGTTGTTTTTTTTTCTGCTGCCATCGCAATTTCCCTGGTCCAGTTTGGTTGTTGTTGTTGTTGCTACCTTTCTGCGGTTTTCCCCTTTATTTTTTATTGTTGTTTGATTTTCGCGGTCGCGCGTTTGGCTTTTCATTTCATTTAACACGCCCGCCAATGTTTTTGCGGCGTTGGCTGTGTCAACAAATCGCAACCGCCCCCTTGTTCGGCCCCGCCCCCATCTTACCTTTAACCCATGTTAGAAATGCATTAGAGTCTGTTTGGCAGGTGGGTTGATTTTCTTTTGGACCGTAAAACATCAGCGTTCCATTTAAAAAAAGGGTTTTCCCCAAAAAAAAAAGAGGTTGGAAAAATAGGCGCTTGTTTGTTGATATTATTCGAGACTTTGACTGGTTAAAATAAATGGCAGGAAGTCAAATTTTAAGCGGGGTAATAAATGTAGACCTAAGCTGTAATGATAGTTATTTAAACATGGTTAAATGGGAAACAATGATTTGAACTGTTTAATATATTGCATTCTAAAGATATATAAAGATATTTATATAATCTCCATACATTTTGTGTAGAACCTGCGTTAAATTCGGGTAAATCTAAAGAAAATTAGGGAGAATTGCACAACCACCATTATCAATCTTTATCAAGTTTCAGTACATCCAAGTCAAAGGATAAAAAAACGCATCCAAGCATATATGAATATATAAATATTATAGTAATTTGCGCATTTAATTAAAATGATGATAAAAGGATGCAAAATATTTCACAAGCTGGCAGTCTTGTGTGACACCAAGTGCTATATGGCATACGTACTTACATATCAGATGGTACATATAGGACAAAATAAAAAAAGGAAAAGAGAAAGAAACGAGGGAAATAAATGAGTGGGGTAATGGAGAAAAAAACCGGGGGAAGAAATTAAAATAAAAATGGCTCATAGCAAAAATCTTGCGCTGTAATTACATCATTTATGCAGGACGAATATGTCGTTTTGTTCCTCGCCTCCGGGACAACAAATAAAAACAAAAAGAACAAAACCACATAGATGTGGTCCTGCGCGCCTGCATGTGTGTTGGTGACTGGCGGCAAATGCCTTTCAAATAAATACGAAACGGTCAGCGGAATAATAATCAGCAGTCGGGTCCCAGTGTCTCAGAGTCGGATATATATGGGATATATATCTCAGTGACAAGGCGACACGTACCGCCAACCATGGGGACATAGTGTAAAATGGGAGTAAATGGGGGAAAAGAATACCAGAGTACCAGAAGAATAAAACGAAGAGATCAGCATTACGTTCACTGCAAAACAGGAAGCGAAAATTTGCATAAAGGGGTGGAAAAATAAAGAAGGAATGCGACATACAAGAAGCCACAGGCTGGTTTTCATAAACCCCTACTTTAGATAATTACTCAAGGATATATGGAAAATAAACGTAGCTCTACAAATTACCTAAATATCACTGCTTACTATTATTATTTGGAATCAATATTGTAGTCTTACAATAAGATGACCAATAACAATAATAACAAAATAATATTATTTTGAATTTTCTTAGCAATAAGAAAATATATATTCTCAATTCTTAAAAAGTATATAAATGATTAATTAACATTGTTTAAAATTATATAGTTTCTTTAATCAACTGCTTTATATAGTTTTCCTGGTACTGCTTGCACTAGAGTCCTTGACTGCTTGCGTCTAGATGCCAGCGCTGGCCGTTGGGGGGCGCTACACTCATTATTAACTGCCGGTGCCACGCCCACCAACCCGCCTTCTTTTCGGTCGGCACACATTTAATATGAGAAAATGGTTTCAATTTTTTATACGCTCACTTTTCTATGCTTTGCTAAACACACAAAAAACGCATAATGCTCAAGAGTGTCCTGTGCAACGGGAGTTGGGGGCAACCAGGGGTTAAGGCGGGGGTCTATTCGTGCTGATGTCGCTGCGATACTTCCGCCAAAGTGGCACAAACAGTAGCCAAAAAAAAATATGATATTATATATCAGCGTTGCGATTGCTGTCCGGTTGTCCGCTTCACCCTCTCATTTTATTTAAAATTTTTTCTTTTAGCCCATGCTAAATGTACAACCGAAAATAATGTACGAGTATTGTGAAAAAAATCGTATATATCTGGGATAGATGCATGTGTGCATGCATATATAGCTCGTCGCATATGAATGTAAAAGAGCACTAATTTTGTAAGGACACGCGCTCCCTTGGACGGACATCGGACAACTCACGTAGCAAGCCGGAGAAAGCAGGGTGCACTGTGAAAAATTAAAGGATGAAATGGTAGGGAAAAAAATATTTTACGCAGTTTTGGGACACCTTTCTACTAAGCTTAAACATGTTTTTTCTGCACATCTTAGCTTGCTTTAAACTAGATGAATAATCACATGTTATAAACTGTCATTAAAAACTAAATAAACAATTATTTGATTTATTGGTCAATAATTATATAACCAAAAAGTAAACTGTAAGTAACAATAAAGATTTTATTTCAGATTATAAGGTTATTTAACCACGAAAAATGTAAAATGCTACTTTGGGACCTAAAAAAAATTGGTCAAATTAAGGGATGTAGATGTCTTATTTTATTAAATAATCGAACTTCTAGGGCAAAAGCTTGAACGCAGATTATTAAGAAAAGGTTTTGGATTATAGAAGGTGCAGTTTTGAGGCACACCATAGATTTTATACCCTTTACTTTTTCCGAGTGCAAAGCGAAGCATGTGGCACATAAGTAGACGTCGACTAGGACGATGACATAAAAAGAGCCGGTCTAAAAAAAAAGGAGCACCAGGACACACTCACACCCAGTTGCGTATGCTAAATGGCCAGCGGCCCTGGGTTTTGGTCATCGTCATCTCTCTCGGTGGCGTACAAATGACGGCTTCCGCTTGTGCATATTAAGCGTGAAGGATAATAATTTTACACACACCACCCACTGACCAACCCACACATAAAGTATACTCCTCACTTTTTTTTCGGTTAACAAAAATGGGTATTAATATTACTTATGGTTAAATATACGCGAGCGCTACGCGACGTCTGTCTGCGGTCTTTTGCGGAACAGGATGAGCATTTTCAGAGGAAGATAAGTGGAATGTC